GGCAGTCCCCGAGTGCCACACATCTTTTTTTTTTTAACGAGCGGTTCAAGATGGCCTTGTTCGTAACTGCCTCCCTGTACTCGTGATTTTCGTCCGTTACTTATTTATTATTACATGCGGATTCCGCGCTAACAAGATGAAAGTCTGATCACACTTTTAATGAATTCCGTTTGCATTCTCGCCGTCGCTGCACTCTGAAAGTGAATAGTTAAGATTTCGCTAATTAATGCACTAATTAAGCACAGTCTGCCTGAAATATTAGTGAATAAGACGATATCAAGTACATCCAATTTGATTCGTGCAAATACAATTTAAATATTTTATGATATAATACAATTGGTGCAATATTTATATTAATTAACGATACCTATATACTATATAACACTAACGGTATCTATATACTAGAAGTATTAGTTTTTGATGATACTTGATGCTAGCCTTCAAGTTAGGTCAGCTGTTAAGTATCACAATTGAAATTTAGACTTCGTGCGAGCGGCGCCATTAACGAAATGATTTCTATGGGCTCCGGTAGCCAATTGCCAATTAGTTAATTGTTAATGTTGGTTCATGGTAAAACACAGCTGTAAGCTTCTCTGTTTATCTATGAACAGCAGTTTATCCAAACGAGTAGATATACATATATCAGTTATTAGCTCCTCTTTTTGTTTAAAGTCCTAAGACCCTAAGATGGGGCAGAGGGTTGTAACAGTTTTTCGCGATCGTTCAAGGCTTGGCGTTCTTGGGACGTGTATGTGCTTGTCCTGAGAGTATAGCCCAGCCTTTCCCAAAGTGGACGATAACGCCCCCTTGTGGGCGCTGCAGACCTAAAGGGGGGCAGTAACCGACCTAGAAAAAAAATGGGAGCGTTGTGAAGAAGCTTGGGAGGCGATTTGTAATTCAATTAAGAAGGACTCTTAGACACCAACTGAGCTTTCCCTATAGTGGTTTTTAAGTGTGTGAAAAAATGAGGGCGCTAAAAAATAATTTATACTCAAACTGGCCGGTAGACAAAATAAGTTTGGCAACCGCTGGTATACCCTATCTATCTCCGTTAGGGACGCGTGATCTGCTTATTAATTGGCATTTCCCGACACACCTCTCACAGGCCTTCGTTTGAGATCTTCTCAGGCAGGTAAATCAAGTTTTTGCCGACGAAAATCTGAATTGCCTACGTGATCATTTTGATTACCTTCTATGTTTCACACCCTTACTTTGGCTCCCAAGGAGAGGTCATTGCCGTAGTAGCATCAAATAAAGATAAGTACATTAACACCGCAATAAAGCGCTTCAATATAATTCTTAGTGATAGACTCGGCGATGCATGCCCGGTGTGCTTGGTGGGAATTTTTTAACGTTCTCGCTAGCGTAAAAGTTAACCCAATTTTGCATGCAGTTGGAATTTTAGAATAGCGCCCCTAACGGCAAACGTAGGCAAACGATTCCATTCTATACTATATGAGCTAACTTTTACGCTATCGAGAACGTTAAAAAACTCGCACTAAGCACACGGATCTCAATAATAGTCAGTGAAACGCTCATACTGGTCTATTAACTGTGGACATGACAACGGATAACCATCGCATATTAAATATGACATCATCTTCGTAATCCATTGATGACAAGAATTCATTCTTTGTAGGTACAACTGGTTAAAGTCAAGGTCGTGCATTTTACGCAACAGTATCCAAACCGAAACAAAAGTGAAGTATTTATTCTAACCCAACCATAGTCTACCTAATAATAGAAGGTTAGAGAGAAAATTGCATAAAAATTGCAGTTTTAGAAATTAATGTATATGAAAGGGTCATTACTATATTTATCGACATAGGTTCAATGTCTATCGCTCAGATTTCCTTAGATATTTTACGTACGACGATACATCGTAATGACTAAGAACCAAGGTAACAAAGTTTTTAGGACAGGCCAGTTTAGAAATAAAGAACAAAAATTTGTATCCGCCATCTTTGAACTTCTTTTTAATTCAAAGAATTTAATTTAACTTTTAAGCGGGAAACGCGGCAGTGAAATTTCGTGAATTGTTTTTTTAATTGAATTTAACTGATTTTGTTAATTTAGTTTTTTTACGGGATTAAACGTGGAATAATTAAGCTTGGCTTTATTAAATGTTTAGCATATGTGACGGTACACAAATATGGGAAACAAAGCGCTGAACATGACTCCTCGGGTTCTCCCAAGTAAATAGTTACCATTTTACTGAAATTTCAGTTCATTTAATTTCATCCCATCAATAAATGAGCTTCTATATGTAGGTACCTATTTAATTCAATATTTCTTTTAACAATTTGCAGATGTTTATAAACTATCTAACTAACGTTTATAGACTAACAATAATGGAATAGCAAGAAGGTAATTGCCATACTTAAAAAAGAAAAAGAGTTACATTTAATTTTCAACTACATATGGTATACCTACTATTGCTTTTTAAATTAGGCCCCAGTTTTAAAATGTCTCCGACGTCAAATTTAACATATTATTTTAATTTTCACTAGGTACATGATTATTTAAGATTTTATACATGGTCTACTCCACAACAGTGTTAATATTGACTTTGGTTGACGTTTTAAAGTGAGGTCCCACCACGTACGTCTGTTTGTACGTTACTGGTTTATCGAAAGGCTTAGGCCTCGTCATAGTCTGACAAAAAATGACCCATCTAGGCCATTATGGTAGAAAAAATAGTTATTACAAAACGCTATACTATTAAGTAATATTTGAACCTTTGAAAAGTGTTAAAATAGTCGTCAATTGTATTAGAAAATATCGATAATAGCGTCCTCATTGTTTTAATCTTCTAGTGGAATTAATTGACTCATCCTTCATATAGCACCCACTCAGACATGATAATTTATATTTATTACTGAAAATCAAATCATAAGCTTAATACAATGCGATCTCAGAGCGCCGTAGTAAAGGCGGCAGCGTTTATAAAAACTGTGGAGGCAGGCTTCCGCTTAGTGTTTGTTCAATAAAGACTAAAAGTGGATAGATATATGAAGCATTCGAAACAGTTAAATCATCAATTTATATACTGTTACGCCGGTAAGTGTAATGCCATCTATCGCCGAAAAGCCGAACGAATATAGAAGATCCAATAGCATCTAGAACGCTCGGGAAGTACAACGCCATTTATTGTCAGATAGCGGAAACGCACATCGAAAGTACTCGACTTGTGAGGAATGTTCTCGACGATTCTAGGGATGTCGTATCAACTATAGAAGCGTTGTAGAGATGGCACGCACCTAGTAATCGGAACTACTCGAAGCGAAACAGCGAACGGGTCACCTGAAGCGAAGCGGAAGAAGCGAATTGAGTGTTTGTGAAGTGTTTTAAATGTTCTAAGTGATAAGCACAGTGTTAAGTTGTAATTCGATAGAATTGTTATTTATCCTGAACCCCAGGGCGTAACAATAAATACATTGAGTGTTTATGATTACAGAACTTAATTTTCAAGATATCTAATTGATATTGATAAATTTAATTCATATAAAAGACAGAAATAGTAAATAGTTCTTGCGACGCAAGTGTTTAAGTCCAATGAACTTTGATTACATTAATTTGCATAATTACTACTAGGGCGCGTTGTATACTACTACAGACTGGTCGAGCAAACGAACCGCGTAGCAGTCCTACAAGTAAATCTGCGAAGTTATGCCTCATTATAATTTGCATATGGGTTCCGATAACCAATTAACACGAGGTGGGTTATGGAATTATTCACCCATCGACAAAAATATTTTTTTCCTCTTTGAAATGTGTATATGTTTCAATATACATAAATATAGATCGTTTCCAGAGATCTTTTTTGCCACGTATCATCCGGCTTTGGAATGACCTCCCCTCCACGGTGTGGAGCGCTATGACATGTCCTTCTTCAAACGAGGCTTGTGGAAAGTACTTAATGGTAGGCAGCGGCTTGGCTCTGCCCCTGGCATTCCTGAAGTCCATGGGCGACAGTAACCACTCACCATCAGGTGGGCCGTACGCTCGTCTGTCTACAAGAGCAATAAAAAAAATAAAAAAACGTTACTACCCGCCGGGCGTAGCTGTCTTTTATTTGTAATTTTTATTGTTTGGATGGGTGGACGAGCTCGCGGTCCACCTGATGTTAAATGGTTATCGGAGCCAATATACATCTACAATGTAAATGCCGTCACCCACCTTGAGACATGAGTTGTAAAGCCTCTCTTTTAAGCCCAATAGCCTAATAGCCTCTTAGGCTACCAGCAAAGAGGTAGAGGAAAAAAGATCAATCTAGTGTGTAGTGTAGTTTTGTGTACTGGATTTAATAACTTTTAACATTATGTGCTTAATGCATTCTATACATTATCATCTGTGCAAACACTAGACTATAAAAAAAAACGTGACAAGCATTGTCAATATCTGCTCTTCAATTAATAATTACGGTTTAATTTCTAATAAGTATCTAACCTACCTTTTAATGCTAATCAATACAATTAACTATATTATGGTTCTAGGGGTTTATTCACCCGCATTGTTAGGTAGATACCCAATTTTTTTATTTGGGTACGTACATAATTAATATTTTGGCGTTTATAGTTAGGTTATTTAAATGTGGACGAACTTTTACAAGGGCAGACCGCAATTTCAAGCGTGACGGCTTTTTAACATGAAGGTAGGTAGGTACTGTGATTTACTGGTCTCTATTCTTTTTTTTTTTCATTTTAGTTACAGATAGACGACTAAGAATTGGAAAAGGAATTCGGACAATAGCTATTGGTAAATTTAACAAATTGGCTAATTTGTTTTTTTAAGAACTGAACAATTCTACAACCCAAGTCGTTTTAATGGTTACCGGGGCTCAAGACGTGAAGGCGACGGAAGGTTTATTATTGTCCTATATAGTCAGACAAGCTCACAGCTCACCCGGTATTAGGTGGTCACCAGTGGGTACCACCACCAGAATATTTAAAAAGAAAGTAACATGACCAAGATTTTTTTTTGAAAATTATATAACTTACCTCTCAAGTCACAGCATCCCGGCTCCGTCAAAAAAGACGAACGTGACCAAAATTTTATTGAGATGATTCCAATTTCACAGAGTTATAATAAATTCGTTTAAAGCACGTATGTATAATGTATGGCGGCCACTCGCCCTGCGCACGTGAGCACGCGACGGCCCGCCGATTGCACTGCAGTCTCGCAGACCGCTTCGAAACTTGGTTTAAGCAAAAAGTTTTCACTTGTTTACAGCAGCAAGCCTCACGGTTCGTGATTTTGCCCCACTTTTAAGATATCTCGATCGGTGGACGAGACAGTAAGCTTATCCTTGCTTTAGTCGTAAATCGCACTGTTAAAATCTAATCTAAAAAACGGTCAGAGTGCTTAGTGCTAGTTTCTTAACGTGCTCGATAGCGTAAAAGTTAACCCAATTTTGTACAGTTGGAACAGCGCCCCTAGCGGCAAACGTACACAAACGATCCCATTCCATACAAATATGAGCTAACTTTTACGCTATCGAAAACGTTAAAAAACTCGCACTAAGCACACTGATAATTTGTCTTACATGGCAATAGTTTCCAGAATAATGATAGGGCCGTAATAATTAACACTCAATATTTAAATAATATAAATACAATTTTAAAAAAAACTCAATGCCATACATCTGTTAAGATTTGACCGTTTTCGTGACGACTTAACACGACCACGTTTACTGCGCCGTATCGGCAGTTCATAAGTTCATATTCTAGAACAGGGCTGTCCAAACTAAATACATTTGCAGGTTAATTAATTACAAAAGCTGGAGGGCTGCAGAAAAAAATACTTTCAGTTTTCAAGTAAAACAAAATACAGAGTAATAATTATTAATACTTTCCGGGAATTCCCCCAATAATATAATACAAAAAGAAAGTTTCACTTTTAAACGATGTCATGAAAATGGAATGTTACCAGAATAAAGAGAAACTATACCATATATTGATTCATAATAAGAATATTTTATGTTTTGGCAAAGAATTCCATTATCCAAACTATTTATATCCAAACATTTCTGATTCCTGAATCCTATTTTCTGATTAAAACATGCGCGGCGAGTCGCCTGAAAACAAGATGAAGTTTTCTGGTAAACCCTATTCTAGAAAACAGTCCACACATGGAAGTTCAGCCAGATGCTAGATTGAACATACTTTATGTTATTATATTTGTATATCTGTCTTGCACAGACAAAATAAAAGGAATCGGTATATTTCTGCTTTATAGGCAGTCGTGATCATGACTTACCTGGGTTTAAGTGGTTACTGAAGCTCATAGACAATATAACTTGTGATTTGCTACCCTCTTTGAGATATTGAAGTCTTATGAAGTCGTCGTGGCCTAAGGGATAAAACGTCCGATGCATTCGTGTTGAGTGATGCACCGGTGTTCGAATCCCTGGCGGGTACCAATTTTTCTAATGAAATACGTACTCAACAAATGTTGAAAATTGACTTCCACAGTGAAGGAATAACATCGTGTAATAAAAATGAAACCCACAAAATTATAATTTGCGTAATTACTGGTGGTAGGACCTCTTGTGAGTCCGCGCGGGTAGGTACCACCGCCCTGCCTATTTCTGTCGTGAAGCAGTAATGCGTTTCGGTTTGAAGGATGGGGCAGCCATTGTAACTATACTTGAGACCTTAGAACTTATATCTCAAGCTGGGTAGCGCATTTACGTCGTAGTTGTCTATGGACTCCAGTAACCACTTAACACCAGGTGGGCTGTGAGCACGTCCACCCATCTAGCACTTAAAAAAAAAGAGGAATTATGCTGTTTATTGGCTGTAACGCTATACAAACCGGAACAAACTGCCACTTTGTATGCCACCTGCCAGTTTAGCCTTCAGGATACAATCTATCACCACTGAGTTCTATTTACAAATGTTATAGTGACAAAGCACATTGGAAACCAAGTATAATAATGGGAAATAATTTTCATGAATTTTATTCATGGTTACTAATTTGACAAAATGCATAGCAAATACTCTTTCTTATACATGAATTTTAAAATAAGAGTCAAAGTTTCACTTCAACTCAGCCGGCATGTCAGTACCGTGAAGGGCAGCTAGTATATTCCTTGCTGTTAGTTCACTCATGGTGTTCCTAGCTTCAATCGTAGCACTTCCTATATGAGGTAGAACCACACAATTGCTCAGCTTGAACAATGGATTATCCAAAGGTAGTGGTTCAGGAGACGTAACATCCAAACCGGCTGCCCTGATCTTATTGGTTTTCAGTGCTTCAATCAAAGCATCTTGATCAACAGTTCCACCACGACTTGTATTTACAAAAATGGCTGTATTCTTCATCTTTTCAAACGCTTCCTTGTTGAATATCTCTTTGGTTTCAGGAACTAGTGCCGCACAACAAATCACAAAGTTGCTTTGGGTGAGGAGTTCATCGAAACTGACTTTGACAGCACCAGTTTCCTTCTCTTCAGGTCTATGACTGCGATTAAAATAAATGATTCTTTCTGTGTTGAATGCTTTCACCCTTCGTGCTACTGCCTGACCTATTCTACCAAATCCAACAATTCCAACAGTGGCACCAGCCAGTCCAGGTCCTGTCATCCAAGTGGGTGCCCATGAAACCCAACCACCGGTTTTGGCTTCATATATAGCTTCAGGAACTCGACGTGATGTAGCCAAGAGCAGGGCTAGCTGAAACAGAATACAACACTCACTGATTTTCAAAACGTAAATAATTAATATATTTGGTTTTATTCATAATGCCTTATCAAGTCTTTGTAAGCATGTTATAAGACCGTCAAAGAGCATTATCTATATTAATATTGGTTTGCACAAAGATGGCTTATAGCCTGGATTAACATAGGAAACTTTTTACAATGGTAAATAACATAACCAGACCAATCTATTTTTCTGTATCTATTAATCTGTTTATCTACTATAGTAAATATGCCACAAAGTAACGTGAAGTGAAATGGACTGACAACAGCACGTGTTCATCTTAGAAAAATGATAATGTGTTTCATTCTTTCTGAACCACAAATATAATGCAGGTGAAAACCCTAACGGATAATGTTGTATAGATAAAATTCTGAAGAAAATGGCTATGGCATGGTAAATATTTTACTTAACTAGCGATCATAAACATGCAAGAATGCTTCAATGTTAGAAGATGTATACTTTGTAAATAAGACTTACAGTTAATTCAGCAGTAGCATCAGTCAAAACATCCGGAGTGTACCCAATACGGACACCCCTTTTCTTGCACTCTGCTACATCAATATGATCATGGCCCACAGAAATAGTAGCCACAACCTTCAAACTAGGCCCTGCTGCGTCTAATAGCTCTGTGTCAATCTTATCAGTTAAAGAACAGTAGATACCATTAACACCAGCCACTTCTTTCAATAATTCGGCTCTCGGCACTGGAGAAGGTTGATTCCATAGATTAACATCACATCTGGAACACATTTGGTATTATAAATTTGATGAAGTTTACTCATTATTTCATAACAATGTTAAAAGCTTATACTGAAAGCAAAAACCTATTTCGTATAACTTGTTGTCATAGTTAGTTGAGTCTAAGCCTACTGAAAGATTTTGGTACTCTATTTTCTAATTTCTGTCTTTATTGGATTAGGTAAAAAATAAAAAAATAAAAAATTAAGGTATTCAATTACAATTTTTTTTTTGCCCTTGTGGGTAGATGAGCATATGACCCACCTGGTGGTGGGTGGTTACCGTCTCCCATGGACTTCAGCAATGTCAGGGGCAGAGCCAGGCCGCTGCCTACCGTTCAATTGTTATTTTTCATAAATTAGGTTTTTTATTATTGAAATAAAATCCTTAAGATGGAAAAAAACGATAACTAAGGTATTTGGTTAAATGAATGAATTCCAGGTTTAAAGAAATTAATTACGCACTTAAACCACCAGTAAAATCATTATGCAAGCTGAAATAAAATCTCAAAGTTCTCATTAACATAATGTAATAACCTAGAAGTTAAAGATTTCAAGTTAAATTAATTAACAGTCACACAGCTTACACGTTAAATTGACACTTACTGATCTTTTAGAAGTTGCACTCCACTCTCTGGCATATCAGACCTCGTCACGTATATTTGATATCGTCCTTTTGCACTCATGTTCCTTACAATAGCAATACCACCACGAAACAGACCTGAGGTGGTCGTTAAAATACTTCTATAAAACATGAATTTCGTGACGTTCCGGATGACCGACTTCCGGGTCTCTCGTTTCAATACAACTGAAGGTTATATGTTATTTCTCTGGCAAGTATTTAGGCGGTGACACTTGGTTTTTAACTTTGTCCTCGGCCTTGAAAAATGACGGTTTAGCGAAGTAAATAGAAGCATGAAGCACGACCACTGTGCCAAGCAAAACTTTGCCTTTAGTCGACTTAATGAAAGACAGAGCACTCATATTAATGAAGGATGAAATTTTTATAACTGCTGTGTTACGTTATGTACCTAATACAGGTGAATAACACTACCAAATCTCTTTAATAACATGGATTTCTTCAAGTCACTCATATTACACTTAAATACACATACCTAGGTACCTACATAATATTAAGTATATACGTCATAACTGATAAAATATTACATAGAATATACACTTAATATATTATGTATATTATATTTAATAAATTATTTGCACGTGACGTCATTTATACACATTTATAGTGTAGACTTTGATTGGTTGCCGCTTGTCAAATTGACGTTATTCTTATACCGGTCACTCACATTCGCACGAATACGCAAACCCGCAAGTGTAGGATGACATTTGCAAATGATTATGCGAAGTTTTCGCTGCATTCGTGGTTTTCCAAGCTGTGTCGGTTTTTTAACAGACATCAAAGCGCGCGAACCGCGATCCTTCGCGTAGTCTCCCACACATTCGTGTGACCGGTTGCGCCCAGGATTGCGAAGGCAACGGACGTTTCGCTATTTTCATAGATCGTGACGTCTACTGTGTAGCGTATCTTCATCAAAAGAAATCCCATAAAAACAGCATGGCTGTTAATGATGTCTGGGAAAGAATTCAAAACTCTTTTTCTCTTCAATGTTCTATTGACGAATTAAAAAGGAGGAGAAATTCGTGAGACATGCGTAAACAAGTGTAGGAGGAAGCGCAAACGGGTTCGCAAATTGAGTACCGAACCCATTTGCACAGCCGCTAAGTTTGCGAATGAATGTTTGCCGGCCCTTCACATGCGCGCAAATATTCGTACATTGTACGAATGTTTGCGCGCATGTCAGTGGCCGGCATAAGTGTTGCTTTTCATCACTCACTTGCTACCCTAATGCTATTTTAGTAAGTTGTATTCTGCTGCTTACCAGCTGGACTCTCTTTCAACTTGTTTTACAAATACAATTCTTATTAAAGAGATAAAAATTATCTTAAATGTAGTACGTAGACTAGTAGACACCAGATTATTTTGGTAGATACTACCAAACAGCGTGACATTTGAGAAAGATAGATTAATCATCTATGAATTGACCCAGTTGAATTTACACAATATCAATTTAAAAATGACCTCCGCATTAGCTGATTTTAGTTTAAATTTTCTTCGTGGCCTATTTCTGTTCACGAATCATAAACAAAATAAAGACTGACTATATTTAAACTGTGCCGAAAATTCTTAAACACCCCATGCACTTTGTTATATTTCAAATTAGGCCAACTAAGAGAACTCGCCGTTTCAATTCGATTTTTAAAAAACCGCTCTGGGAGTATGTAATCTCATTTCTTACTCTTTAAAGTAGATCTGATCATGGATCATTAATAACTCTTTAGTGGATCTTAGTTCACGAATAGAGGTCAATAAAAATCCGGTTACTTTTTTTATTTATTTTTATTGCCTTTGTAGACAGACGCGCATACGGCCCACCTGATGGTGAGTGGTTACCGTCGCCCATGGACTTCAGCAATGCCAAAGCATGGACTGCAGCAGCTATACTACAAAATTATTACAATCAACATCATCTTTTGATTGACCAGTGAAACGCAAGCAAAAGTACTGTCGGGCAGATAGGGAAATGAATTCAAGGACAGGATTCTGCTATTAGGGATAACTAACAAAAGTGGCATTAGGCAGCCAAGTCATTACTTTTATCCCTTTGAATTAATAGCAAGATTTGTATTGGGTAGAAATCATAATGTGAATACCGCCACCCAGGCATGAGGTTGAAGACTCAATTGTAGTGCATGCCTCTTATGCATGCCAATGGTTGCCTCTTTCTTAAATCTAAAATGCACTAGTACTTCACAGCATTCACATAAATAACTATCTAATCATTTCCCAAGAAATACCAGTTGGAAATCTCAATACCCTGGTAAAATACTCAGGGAGCACTGTTACATTTTCTAGTACATATCTTATGACAATCACAGGATGACGTGGTATGGTGCTATTTTAGGCTCACCACATTGTCAAATCCAATTTCAATTATTAATTAAAGTATTTTTCATATGTAAATCTGCTTGATCTTTTAAACAAACAAAACAACAAATCAAATTATTTATTCATCCTCACTTTCACCTATCAAATAATAAATAAATAAAGTGCACAGATAATCAAACAGTTCATAATCAATCTGTATGCTCATGCTGGGCCTCAGATTCCCGCCAATTATTCTGTACCATCTCCACTATCATAGTCCACCATTTTGATTGCACAAAATAATAAACTGAACAAACCAAGATGAACAGCCATGATAAAATAAGAAAATAATCAGTTTCTTTCTCCACTACACTAGACACAGGACCTTGGAAGTCCTTTGAAGTGACGAGCAGCACTTGAGGATTCTGACCAGTGATGGCATGAACAAACTTACTGAATGAGTGTATGTTATATTCTGTCCCGTTGAATTTTCCAACAGGCCTTCCATTATGGAACATTTTCAAAGTCGGCACCCCTATAATACCATATTGAGCATTTATGCCATGGTACTTCAGAGCGTCTACTGCCACCATTTTAACATTAGGATATGATCTAGATAGAGCATTGAAATGTGGTGCTGCATGAGCACTGAACGGACACGCTCTAGCGTAAAACAGTACTAAGACACAGTCTGCCTCTACATCTCTTGTTGTGATATCAGGGTTTATTTGAAGCAATTTTCCCAAATACGTTGCATTTATAAGTTCTACTGTTGGCTCTACCTCTTCTGAGGCATCATACACAATCTCTTTACATTTAACGAGTTTTCTAGTTTCATTTGCATTCTGTGTTTTATTTTCTGCAGTGACATTTGCTAGTGTCATTGTGTTGTAAAGGTTTGTAAGAGTTTTATTGACGTCTGACACAACATTGGAGAGTAATGATTCTGATTCATCAACATTTGGAACGTCTTCTAATTGGGTTTCTTCAGATACATCATATTGTCTTGTTATTGGTGCTAAACCTGAGGAAAAATATTGATATATCATAGTACTTTTTTTTAAATATCCTGTATTATTTTAACAATACCATTATGATATTGTGGTATGGCATACTTAGTTACAGATTCTATAATGACAAAGCGAATAACAAAATTAATCATATGCAAATCTATCAAAATTAAATCAATATGACCGGTAAAATTAATGTTAGTGAATAGAATAGAAAAGTATTTTGTCAATAATAAGCCGATAAACAATCTTACTTACATATTAATAAAACCACCACAAGATTTACATTCTTCACTATACAAACACACATCGTACATTTATTATTTACAGATAGTTAATTACTTATATAAATTTTTCCAAGAGTCGAAATAACTTTAGTTTTACAATCTTAATTCTTTCAGTAGACATTGAATTCAAAACATTGGAGTTGTCATGTTGTCACTGACAAATCGTGAGTGTCAGTATTGTCAGTAGTAGTTTAAGATTTTCTAAATGTAAAGGCGAAAATATTGTATCATGCATCCTAGCTAGTAAAAGCAGTGTATCGCAGAATCTAATCTAAATCTAAAATCTAATAATCGGAAAGGTGACCCACTGAGATGATCCGGCAAGAAACTCAGTGGGCTGTGTCTATGGATTACTTTACTCGTTGGGACCTTTGTCGCAAACGACGGGTTCGGCGAGGACGGTGACCGGTGCTTGAGGTACCTAAAAGCACCGTTAATGAATCGAGAGGATCCGTAATGACGTGAAACGGTTAATAAACCACCATTATTACACATAAACCTGAAGAAGCACTAAATTAGCAAAGTAAAACAATTCACACCACATAGCCCCTCGCGTTCCCGCCAAAAAAATTTAGTATGCGGCGTCACTTGAATAGGTTTAGTGGGTATCTACATGAAGTGTAAATGTATATATAATGTATTTAGATAAATAATGTATTATTTATAGATGATAGACCATAGATAATACACTTATTATGTGCACTGAAGTATGTGATAGACATTTGCAGGTACGTAAGGCCAAAGACAAAATTTTCCACTAAGCGGATGAATATGTTAAGTAGGCCGATGATCCAAATGATATTGTTAAACACTCGTATATGTGTTAATTTAACTTGATAATATCTTTAGCGAGTCATAGGCCTCTGTCAAATATTTCTTGTTTTATAATAGCTACTGCTACACTTATTAATTTATTACTGGTGGTAGGACCTCTTGTGAGTCCGCACGGTACCACTATCCTGTCTATTTCCGCCGTGCAGCATTAATGCGTTTCGGTTTGAAGGGTGGGGCAGCCGTTGTAACTATACTTGAGACCTTAGAAATTATATCTCAAGGTGGGTGGCACATTTATGTTGTAGATGTCTATGGGCCTCAATAACAAATTAACACCAGGTTGGCTGTGAGCTCGTCCACCCATCTAAGCAATAAATAAAAACAGTATATTATAGTAAGAACCATTGAAAATAAACACATACTTTTCTGTCTTGCCAGTCTTACCAGAGTAAGCCGGCATCGCAGTTTCATCTCGCCGATACAACGTTCAAACATATCATCAGTACTTGGGATCACTCACCTTCGACGTGGAAGTACTAGGTATACTACGTTCTACAACTAATAGGGAACGACGTGGCATTTTTTTTTATTCTTTACTAGCTGACCCGGCAGACTTCGTAGTGCCTCAATCGACAAAATACCTAAACTTTTGTATAAAATAAACTTAAAACAAACAAAAGGAATCCGTCCGACGGGGGACACATCAAAGGAAAAACAAAATTGTTATTTTTATTTAATTCCGAGTATTTTCATATTTATCTAAACCTTCTAAACCTCTCTGGACTTCCACAAATAATTCAAAACCAAAATTAGCCAAATCGGTCCAGCCGTTTTCGAGTTTTAGCGAGACTAACGAACAGCAATTCATTTTTATATATGTAGGTATATAGATTAGAGCCATACACCTATTAGGTTAACTCAGCTTACGACGTGGCATTAAAGCAACAATAACTTGAATCACGTTAATGTGAATAAATAAAGTTAAAAAAATCAGCGTTTGTCGGAACACCACCAGTCCACCAAGCATTGACACAAGATGTTTAGGCAAATAATGAAAATCGCAAATAGGTATGCATGATTTTTTTAATTTTTTTATTTCCTAGATGTGTGGACGAGCTCACAGCCCACCTGGTGTTAAGTGGTTACTGGAACCCATAGACATCTACAACTGAAATGCGCCACACACCTTGAGATTTAGGTTCTAAGGTCTCTGTATAGTTACAACGGCTGCCCCACCCTTCAAACCTGTGTTCTTGAAGTTATCTTTAGCGGTATCCAAGTTTTTGTCAGACTTGTTTAATTCGCCTATAGCGGTTCGTATGTCGTGGTGTCGATACATTTCAATAAAAAACCGCCATCAAAGATTGCTGCTGTTTTTCAAAATAAATGCGTTCACGTAACAAAATTATTTATTTTCCAATCACTCCGCGTACATATTGTTTACAATATTTAGAGTATTTAGAATAAATCTATAAGTATATTATTATAATAATGAAGAAAATGACTAGATTTTTACAAAAATATATCCAATTCACCCCGAAAGGGCAGTGAAGATTTAATAATTATTACATTCGAAAAAATTTTTTGTTACAGAATTCAATTATAACAATTTTTTTGTAAATTACATACTTATGTATGTGCAAATGTTTTATTATATAAAAAAAAGTTCTATTATTGGTCGTTATGAATTTCTTATTTGTCTACAATTATATTATTTTTTGTGTAAAATAAGAAACAAAAGAAAAGACAATAAAATATCTTAGCTACAGGACAAGACGCCCAATAGAATCGCGTAGCGACCGGGCCAATGTTGAAATCCCGCTGACCAGTTGTTCTAAGGAAATATCTATATAATATTCCGAATACACCTACCTTGAGATATGAGTTCTAAGGTCTCAATATAGTTACAACGGCTACCTCACCCTTCAAACCGTAACGCATTACTGCATCGCGGCAGAAATAGGTGCTGCGTTCAGGTTTAAAGGATGTGACAGCTGTTATACTATTACAATAATTGAGAATTTAATTCACGTCTCAAGTGTGTTCATGTTCACATTATGATACTAAGGACATCGATAAGCATTTAACCTTAATGTATGCACCCATATATGCATAAAAAAATTGTTATTTCATTAAAACAAAGATTCGCTAACATTTTCTTTTAAGACACCAAACAAACGATTTTTATGTATTTTCATGACTCTTCGAGAATTACGTAATCAAATATATAACACAGATGTAATTTATGTTTGTATTATAGTTTTAGGTCTAAATAAATAAAAATACTATGCTACATCTTAGGTCAGTTCGCAACCAGTGACGGATTTAGGCTTGATGCCGCCCTAGGCTCTGTTTATTGTGCCACCCTTAATGTCTTTTTATATTAAATATAAATTTACTTTTTATACTTTTTATATTAAATATAAATTAACTTTATAATTTTTTTACACAAAATAATCTGAACTCATTTTCAAAGGAGACAGTCTACTTTATTTCGTCTCTAAAATTTTGGCATTTAAAAAAATTTGCCGGCACTCAATTCATGCCGCCCTTTTTTTAACAGACTGGGTTATGTCGGACTCCGGTGCCTCCAGAGAACAAGAGGGAGAAGAGGTAGACCGGGATCCTCCTCCTCTGCCAATTCCTGCCGAGAGACTACGCCTTGAGAAAGGCGCGCGAGGCACTATACGGTGTAAATCATGCCGTCCTAAGCACTGGTCTCAAGGGCCTAGGCGTAAATCCATCACTGTTCGGAAGCTACGAGGGAAGACCAGAGAATGACGTGTAAGCTGCTGCGTGAGGGGTGAGCGCACTCTGCGACCCACGTCGGTTCTGACTAGAGTAGCCAGACGTCCCGTATTTCCCGGGACATCCCGTATTTTAGGCTTAGTATAAAATGTCCCGGCGGGATTGACTCTGTCCCTTATTCAAACCGTACAATTATAATTGTATTGATTTTTATAAATATGTTAAAACCGATAAAAATATGTTAACACTGACTTGCTCCTCGAAGAAATATAAAAAAAAAAGAATCTCACTATATAATTTTGTTTTTTATTTGTCCCGGGTAAAAAGTAAATCCCGTATTTTTTTCCTATTTAAGCATTTGCCTCTTATTTATAGGCAAAATATGAAATAAAAATCTGGCAACTCTGGCAACCCTGACTCAGCGGCGTATTCGGGGGTACGAGACGAGTTGGCGGCCTCACAATATTCCCAGCTCATAACACCACTTGTAAGAAAAACTTGTAAATCTTCATCCGCCACTAAAGCTCGTTTGAGTCGAATAATTGAGAACCATTGAATCCAAAACGACAAGGCGCCGCTGCTGACCTTTACTTAAACCTAAATTTAAAACGCTCATCTTGAGCCACGAAAAATTTTTTTTACAATTACCTTTGAACAATTTAGTAAATTTACATTCAATAAAAACGTACTCATATAACAAATAGGCTAATAAATATTATGATGTAGGTATTTTATGAGAAAGAACATTTCAGTCATGATTAAAATTTAACCTAAAAATTTATAAGAGATCCTAAAATTCTAATGGTCCAAACAAGTGTTTCGCTTCGCAGTCATCGCTAACGTCGCCCAGGAACTGAGCGAAGAGTTCTTGATATCTGGAGAGCGTCAGGCCGCCCCTCCGCCTGTCGTCATCCTAAAAAACAAACTATGTATATAAAAAACTAACTATAAACTTTTAAGTGAAACAAAAAACTGACTGCACTGACTGAAAAAGTGACTGACTCCATTAAAAATACTAACTAAATAGCAATTTAAAGAAGTTATTTTAGTAAAGGTACGCGAGATTTTTTGTTTCATTTAACAATTAATTTTATTTCATGATTTTTCGACCGTATAATACATAATATTAATATAATTCTCTGGCACAGTTTACACTAATTTACAGCCTAAGACTTTTGACAGATTTCAACATTATGGTATCATTTCCGTTTTTTATTATACAATATAAATAAAAATAGGTAGGTATGTATTCTTTTCGCGACTTTATCGCTCGACTTCGAGTAAGCATGCGTATTAATTACATTTCAAACCACGTAACCATGTTTAATACGGAACGAACGTTTTCCCGCCAACTCACGTTCGTTATCTATTGCAACAATAATATTAAATCCCAATAACACCGAAGTGACACTGCCCACGTCTATTGTAGCGATTTGGATTAGCCAGTAAGAAAGTATTCTTTAACGCTTTATTCATTTCGTTGCATAATTTTTATTATTTATTTTTGTGAGCGTATCTTTAAACTAGTTCGCAACATTTTATATTTAGATCGTAGTGGGATTGTTTATGTCGTCACAGATGAGGATGTACACGGAAATTGTTGTGTAGACGCGAGCAGGGGCAATGTTTTGTATGTTAAGAACGGCTACCGCTGATGTTCCGGGTTTACGACTGAAGATATAACAACCCAAAAAATTCTTAATTAAGATTATTTTTATTGCCCGTGTGGGCAGACGAGCACACGGCCCCGTCACCCATGGACTTCAGCAATGCCAGGGGCAGAGCCAAGCCGCTGCCTACCGTTAAGTACTCTCCACAAGCCTCGTTTGAAGCAGGATATGTCATAGCGCTCGGAAAACACCGTCATGGGGAGCTCATTTCAAAGCCGGATGGTACGTGGCAAAAAAGATCTCTGGAAGCGCACTGTAAATGAAAGAATGCACTCGAGTGCATAAAGTTTTTCAAGAAACGTGCTTTGCATAATTCTTATATTGCTGAACTGGATCTCAACAGAGGCATAGTTATTATAATAATTACAATTGTTAAACGTATTTACAATTATTTATATGTTGGTAGGGGTATAACAGTTTAAAAGAAATGAAATGACCCGTTACTGATTTAAAATACATACAACATCCATACTTTAATTTTTTAAATAGATATTATTATGAAAGTGTGACGAACGAAGCAACGAATTGACATGATTCCTTTAAGTAATACTACGGTATTAGATCAGAATAGGGACATATGCTACCTTTCATCCTGAAAAAACATCTTATTCTCGCGGGAAACAGCAACGGTAACACATAGTACATTCATAAATTCGCAAAAACCATGCAGTTTTTCTTCTTTTGTCATGAGCTGACCGCCATCCCGGTGTCGTATAGCACACGCATTACAGCGCCAATACTGCTCTGTGACTGTGACTATACCAATCACCTGAGATGGGATCTTGTCACTATGGCATCAGAATCATATCGTTTAAACGAAAGAACAGGTGATCTGTTCAATGAATAAGGATCAAGCAGGCTTTTTCATCACACGGCCTACCGCAAGTGCTCTCTAGTATCCACGTGTTTTGTGTACATTTCGGCATATAAGTTTTGATTGGCCAGGGGTTCTATTCATCTGCTCTATTAAAAAAAAAAACCCAGCAAAAAGACGGGCGTTAGTCAGTATGCTTAGTGCGAGTTTTTTAACGTTCTCGACATCGTAAAAGTTAGCCCAATTTTGTATGCAGTTCGAACAGCGCACCTGCGGCAAACGTACGCAAACGATCCCATTCCATACAAATATGAGCTAACTTTTACGCTAACGAGAACGTTAAAAAACTCGCACTAAGCACACAGATGCACGATATTTATTATTAAATCGTTTACATCACATCTCGTTTTGTTAAACGCCTCGGCACCATGTCAACGACATCAGCGTCGGCCGGTATCGGTGCCAGAATCTCCCGGGATCGCACATCAGACAGTTCATAATTTACAGAGGCTCCAGTTTACAGATGAACAAATCGAGGAGTGACGCCGTATTGAATTTTTGACCACAGATTTGTTTAGTAAATGGAATAGTAGGTACTCTTTTATTTATTTAAACACCGGAATCTTTGGTCTTGTTTAAGTCCCTAGTGCTTAGGTATATCTGGATATGGAATTTCGTAGCAATAATATTCACACTGTGAATTCACGCGGTTGTCCATCAATAGCATTACAAGGGATCATCCCTGTAAATGTGGTATTCCAAGTAATACATTATTTTCGTTTGGACTCTCTTTCGATTTCCGTCATTCACGTCGAGCTTCCATTATAATTGTATTTGTAATTGTAATTTCAATATACAATTTGTGAAATCATAAGGCTACGATTACTGTTTAGGCTATCATAATAATAATTATGTGATTAAATTAATTAATTAAATCATTGCATTAAGCGAAAAATGTCCATTATAACTCGTTTACAATCTGGGTAAGTGCTCAAAATCCCGAGATTCATGCGGTTTCGGTATAATTCCCAATGAGAATGATTAACTATTATCGTTTTTAAAGTGAGACAAAGGCATCTGATGTAAGTCTACCACACTAATGTCAGTAATGTCATAGATCAATTAATCAATCAATGAGCCCTTTATCCTGAACTATTAAGACTGTTGATTTAATTTTGGATATTTTACAGAATGTCTCTCAGTTTTGTGCGCCTATTCGCATAAGCCTCATGTAACATCTTTCATTTTTATATTCTTTAGCGGTTGCTAGGAGGGTTTTCCTCCATTTAGGATGGACTGTTAACTTTATCTCATCCTCCCATCTCATTCCTTACCTTCCTCTATTCCTTTTACCCTCTCTAGGGTATCTACTTATACAAACGTCACACATAAATACAAATAATTTACATGATCTGAATATTTTAATAGGAATGAACCGTCTGCATTAATTATGTTCTTCGACCATGCAATGATCGTGTATGACGCGAATATTTCTGGAAAACACATGCTATTACATCGCTCGGTCTATTATTACACGTGATCGCTGAGATGATAGCTTAGGACGACGTGTGCATTGGTTGTTAAATCTTCATAGAAATTGTTCAATATCAATTAGTAATTTAATTATTTATAATTTTTAATTAATAATTTTAATCAATTAAATTATGTGGAAGGCATTGGGGAAGGCCTGTGTCCAGCAGTGGGCAGATAAAGGCTGATGATGATGATGATGACGAATTAGTAACCTAAATTAAATTTCTCTATAATATAATATAATACAGTGGTTAAATGATTCACGTGTTACATTAACATAAATTTAGTATACTTGATATCAAAATTATATTTAAGATACCGTTTTATTTATTATTATATTTATTATGATTTATTTATGAAACACCTTTGCGTTCGCAGGGATTCTGTTACATGAGAAAGATACAGAACCCATAGCTTACTATAACAACGTGACGAAGAAACCCTAATGTTGTTGTGACCATAGGAACTTCACGACACCATCTTAATTGATAGCCTGGAATTACTATATGAATGCACTTCTTCATCGTTCCCTCACTGCTGAGGATCGCGACCACGTGTGACTTTCCTCCATAGTGTTCGGTCATTGTTACGTTGTGGTAAATGAGAGTGGACTGCATTTATTGGTGATATCTTTATTAGTCCTTATGTGACAAATTAAAGATATACGAATATATGAAATATGAAATCGATGTGTCGCCCTTCGCGGCTGGAATTTAAAAGGGGAAAGTGTCATAGGGGACGTCGCTCGTTGACACTTCTGACGTTCCGAATTCAAACAGTCATGGGTGGTATGGACCGCATGGTACAGACTACCACCAAGTGCTTCTCTTACTAGATCTGACCATCTGACCGGTGTTCTGCCCACGGCGCTCTTGCCCTCTATGCGACCCGAAATTATGAGCTTCTCTGATTCATGTCTGGAAGACCGCATGATTTGTCCGAAGACCGATCTAATATATATATATATATATATATATTTTTTTTTTTTTTTNTTTTTTTTTCTTGTTTTTTTTTTTTTTTTTTTTTTTTTTTTTTTTTTTTTTTTTTTTTTTTTTTTTTTTTTTTATTGCTTAGATGTGTGGACGAGCTCACAGCCCACCTGATGTTAAGTGGTTACTGGAGCCCATAGACATCTACAACGTAAATGCGCCACACACCTTGAGATATAGTTCTAAAGTCTCAGTATAGTCAATATCTGTTTTGGTCGTAGGACGTGTCTTGAATCTACACGAGTAAGCATCAATCGTGGTGCTACATATAGTTATCTGTCGGAGGCATTCATACTTTCAACTTTTGACGACAGATCGTCACCGAATGGAAAGCAGTCGACGTCGCCCAAAACACGTCATTTCGGATCCTCCCGATCCACTAACGGTGCTTTTAGGTACCTCAAGCACCAGTCATCGTCCTCGTTGAGCCCCTCGCTTATGACCAAGGGCTCGAAGAGTAAATTAACCTACAGACACAGCCCACTGAGTTTCTCACCGGATCTTCTCAGTGGGTCGTGTTTCAGATCCGGTGGTAGATTCTGCGAAGCACGGCCCTTGCTAGGGTTCGTGTTAGCAACGTCGTCAGGTTTAAGCCCCATGAGCTCACCTACATGTTAGGGCGAAGCTGAAATAGCCTCTAAAGGCTATCAGCATTGGAAAAAAAATCAGATCGTCCGATCTGACGACAAACAAATGGGTGTTGATTAATAAAATAATTGACACTGCAATGGTTCTGTCTTAAGACAAGCAGTAGCTTTAACGTTGTGTTATCCTTTGGACTCCCGTAAACACTGAACATGAAGTTTTTACGACGGTCTTCACAAGTTGTAGACATAATATAAACTACTTCTACGATTTAATTCTCGCGTGTTTATTGTCGTTATATCGAGGTCTGAAAATCTATTTGGTACAAGCGACATTTTCGCAACATTACAGGAAAGCTACTAAAATTTAAAATAAAAAAAAAAGTTATAACAAAAAACTTCTTCGGCTATTTGAACGGAGTACACATAATTGAAGTTCAATTAAAAACATCAAACTGTTGATGCTAATACCAAATAAAACGGAACTTACAAAGAGAAATGTCGCGTATTAAGCGAAACACCGTTTAAACCAAATATCCTTCCACCCCTCGACTATTTCTGATATTTCGAATAATTTATTTATTTTTATTGTTCAAATAGGCTCACAGCTCACAGCCAACTTGGTATTAAGTGGTTACAGGAGCTCATAGACATCAACAACGTAAATGCCGCCACCCACATTGAGACAGTCTTATACAACAATGGCTGCGACCTTTCAAACTAAAACGCATTACGTCAGAAATACGCAGGCGGTACCCATCCGGGCGGACTCAAGACACGTCCTACCACCAGTGTGCTTAGTGCGAGTTTTTTAACTTCTCGATAGCGTAAAAGTTAACTGAAATTTGTATGGAGTTGGAACAGCGCCCCTAGCGGCAAACGAAGAAACGCTGTCAAACTACATACAAGAGTTAACTTTTACGCGAACGAGAAGTTAAAAAACTTGCACTAAGCATACAGTCTAATTATATTGAACCTCAGGTTATCGACGGTTCTTTTATTCGCATATCGCATATGTACATAATAATGTACATGGTAATGTGCATATGGTGTTGCTTTTGTTTTTTGTGTAAAATTAAATTTCTAAATTTCTCTTCTCTGTTCAGTTTCTACTTATATGCGATTTTGATGGTGGAAACATGTTTGATTATTGTTTTAGCTATTTTTTTTAAATGTTATATGTTTGTGTTATACTGTTGGTTTCCCAAATATATCTCTATATCTAAAAATGAATTACTGTTCGTTAATCTTCCTAAAACTCCAGGACGGCTGGACCGATTTAGCTAATTTTGGTCTTGAATTATTCGTGGAAGTCCAGGGAAGGTTTAAAAGATAGATAAATATGAAAATGCTCGGAATTCAATAAAAATAACAATTTTGTTTTTCCTTTGATGTGTCCCCCGTCGGACGAATTCCTTTTGTTTGTTTTACGTTTATTTTATACAAAAGTTTAGATATTTTATTTATCGATTGAGGCACTACGAAATCTGCCGGGTCAGCTAGTAAATAAATAAATAATTAAATACGTGTACAACAACAAGAAGCTCACATTTAACAGTGTACTGTAGGCTTCGTCGACAACCTTGATGTCCTCCACGACCATCCTCTGCACGCAGTCGTATCTGTACTCTTCGAGGGCGAGCACGCCATCACAGTTAATGTCGATCATCCTGAAGTTAGTCTCGATGAACGCTCGCATCGACTGAGGGAAGTCTTCGTACCTCCTACCCACGCAGCTGTTCATAACAGCCTGCTTAAACTCGTCAACCGTTACGATGCCGTCCTGAAATAAATGGCTTTTAGTGCTGCAATAGCTTGTCAGAGCCGCGACAAGCATAAAGCGTGCGCTTAGCTTACGCTTGTGCTATTGTTAGATTTGAAATAAAGAAGGCATGCATGGTATTACACTCATGTGTCCAATTAAAAATACTAATAGATACCTACATTAATGTATGTTATGTTTAAATATCACATTGACATTAAATTAATAAAATAATAACTTATCTAAAGACGAATCTATCTATACTAATATAGAAATCTACACTGGTTTTTACGGATGTTCCGTTATAACTACTGAACCATGCATCCGATTGACTTGAAACTTGGTATCCATGTAGAAAATAGATGTACTTAATGGATAGGCTAATATTTATATGAGTGTTCGACTCACGGTTGACGGGTACAGCTAGTCATGTAATAAAAATCAAAAGCCGCAAAAATATAAGTTGCGTATTTACTGGTAGGTACCATCGCCCTGCCTATTTCTGCCGTGAAGCAGTAATGCGTTTCGGTTTGAAGGGCGGGGCAGCCGATGTACTATACTGAGACCTTACAACTCAGGTCTCAGTTAGGTGGCGGCATTTACGCTGTAGATGTCTATGGGCTCCGGTAACCATTTAACACTCGGTGTAACGCTGTGAGCTCGTCCGTCCATCTAAGCAATAAAAAAATATATAATTTTTTCTGGTACATTTTTGGTATCTTATTTAAATTCCGAAATTCTGAGGCGACAGATAAACAGCTTCGATGCACTCAATTAAACATTATGCATGTAAAGGAAAGATTTCAATGTGCATAAGTAAATATTTGCTTACGTAAATCAATGGTACTGAAATAGATCATATGTGTGTGTGTGTGTGTGTATGAGAGTTATTCTTGGCATATGAAAGAGTCTTAAGACATAAATCTGATATTTATGTGCGAATAATTATTTTGTAGGTACATATAATAATATATTATATTATGCATACTATACTCGAACCTTCTCTACAATAGTGTCATAGTACAGTTTTATACTTTTAGACAGACGAGTATATGGCCCACCTGATGGTGAGTGGTTACCGTCGCCCATGGACGTCAACAATGCCAGAGGCAGAGCCAAGCCACTGCCTACCATTAAGCACTCTCCACAAGCCTCTATTTTTAACTTATATTCTGCTATCAATGATGTTTAAATTAACATTACATTTGTTTTAATAAATTACGCATCACTACGTACCTATCTATGCTATATTTTTAGATGTTTACCTACCTTCATAAATAAATAAATAAATTCATTAGGCAAACTAAGTTTCCCGTTACGAACCAATCTACCACACGCTGCAAGCATGCAGAAGTAATGCCACTGTAGATAATGAGAAAGTAGAAAGAAGCTGGACATCACAACATCGGCATAAGCGCTGCGACCTGCGTAATAAAATAGATTAGGTAACCGACATAGTCCGGCACCTTGTCGAAGTCCGCCAGCTGTGCGATCTCTTCCCACAGATTGAGCATCACGTGCTGGTACTTCTGGAGACGGGCGGAGCTGCAGTCGCCCTTCCCTTCAAGCACGCACGTCCGGAGGGCCAGACAATGGAAATCGTGCGCGTCCAGATACCCATTGTTGTCTATATCTGGAAATGAAGTAGATTTAACCTTCAATCATAAGAGTAACTTTAAAATAAATACGTAAATCTTTTGGATTCTATTTTTATTTTATTGCTTAGATCGGCGGACGAGCTCATAGCCCAACTGGTGTTAAGTGGTTACTGAACCCCATAGACATCTACAACGTCAATGCCGCCAGCCACCTTGAGATGTGAGGTCTCAGCATAGTACAACAGCTGCTCCACCCCTCGAATCGAAACGCATTACCGCTTCACGGCAGAAATAGGCACGGTGGTGGTACCTACCCGTGCGGACTCACAAAAGGTCCTACCACCAGTAAAACCAGATTCTCCGCAATCTTCGATACAAGTTCGGACACAAGATAGAAAAAGTCGAGGTCGTATCATCATTAAAATTAATGTTTTAGGAATTATCTCTAAGCGTTGCTGTCGTCCTGGGGGACCGGCTCCTTGAGCTATATAATGGCTGCTTGGAGTCGGGACGGTTTCCGTCGCTCTGGCGGACGGGTAGACTTGTGTTGTTGAGGAAGGAGGGGCGCCCGGTGGATACAACCGCCGGGTATCGTCCTATCGTACTGCTGGACGAGGCGGGAAAATTGCTGGAACGTATTCTGGCTGCCCGCATCGTTCGGCACCTGGTCGGGGTGGGGCCTAACCTGTCGGGCTTCCGGGAGGGCCGTTCGACCGTGGATGCAATTCTTCGCGTGCGGTCCCTCTCGGACGAGGCCGTTTCTCGGGGTGGGGTGGCGCTGGCGGTGTCTCTTGACATCGCCAATGCATTTAACACTCTGCCCTGGACCGTGATAGGGGGGGCACTGGAGAGGCATGGAGTGCCCCTCTACCTCCGCCGGCTGGTTGGGTCCTATTTGGGGGCCAGGTCGGTCGTATGTACCGGGTACGGTGGGACCCTTCGTCGTTTTCCGGTCGTGCGTGGTGTTCCGCAGGGGTCGGTTCTCGGCCCCCTCTTGTGGAATATCGGGTACGGCTGGGTGCTGAGGGGCGACCTCCTCCCGGGCCTCCGCGTTATTTGTTACGCGGACGACACGTTGGTCGTGGCCCGGGGGGATGATTATAGGGAGTCTGCCCGTCTCGCCACAGCGGGAGTGGCCCTCGTCGTCGGAAGGATAAGGAGGCTGGGTCTCGACGTGGCGCTCAGTAAATCCGAGGCTCTGTGGTTTCACGGGCCGCGGAGGGCGCCACCAGTTGACACCCACATCGTGGTTGGAGGCGTCCGGATAGGGGTCGGGGTGCAGTTGAAGTACCTCGGCCTCGTGTTGGACAGCCGGTGGGCTTTTCGTGCTCACTTTGCGGAGCTGGTCCCCCGATTGATGGGGACGGCCGGTTCTTTGAGCCGGCTGCTCCCGAATATTGGGGGACCGGATCAGGTTGTGCGCCGTCTCTACGCGGGGGTGGTGCGATCGATGGCCCTGTACGGTGCACCTGTGTGGGCTGAGCCGCGCAACCGGGCCACTATGGCTCGGTTCCTGCGCCGGCCGCAGCGCACCGTTGCCATCAGGGTCATCCGCGGATATCGCACCGTCTCCTTCGAGGCGGCGTGTGTTTTGGCGGGGACGCCGCCATGGGAGCTGGAGGCGGAGTCGCTCGCTGCCGACTATCGGTGGCGCAGCGAGCTTCGTGCTCGGGGCGTGGCGCGTGTCCCCGAGAGTGAGCTGCGGGCGCGGAAGGCCCATTCTCGGCGGTCCGTGCTCGAGTCGTGGTCGAGGCGATTGGCCAACCCCACGTGGGGGCTACGGACCGTCGAGGCGGTTTACCCGGTCTTTGATGACTGGGTGAATCGTGGCGAGGGACGTCTCACCTTTCGTCTGGTGCAGGTGCTGACCGGGCACGGATGCTTCGGGAAGTACCTGCGCCGGATAGGGGCTGAGCCGACGACGAGGTGTCACCATTGTGGACACGACCTGGACACGGCGGAGCATACGCTCGCTGTCTGCCCCGCTTGGGAGGTGCAGCGCCGTGTCCTGGTCGCAAAGATAGGACCTGACTTGTCGCTGCCTGGCGTCGTGGCGTCGATGCTTGGCAGCGATGAGTCATGGAAGGCTATGCTCGACTTCTGCGAGTGCACCATCTCGCAGAAGGAGGCGGCGGGGCGAGTGAGGGAAAGCTCTCCTCACTACGCAGAAACCCGCCGCCGCCGAGCAGGGGGTCGGGACCGGGGTCGTATCCGTGACCTGGCCCCCTAAGAGCTAGGGGTCCCACCCGTTTTGTGCGGGGAGAGACCCAGACGTGGGGTGGCGTGCTTTGCACGCTCACCCGCAATAGGAAGCCGGGTGATGGTAGACCGCGTTCCCCCGACCGCTCTGGGGGAAGGTGTAACGCGGCGCCATCAAAGCGGGCTCTCGGCCCGCTGAACGAGGGAACCGGTGGTCGTGTCGCTGGCGGCCACCGGTCCGGCGTCCGTGGGACGGTGGGATGGATGTAATGTGCTCTGCGTCAACCCTGTCCTGCCGTTTCAATAGCCCCGACTGGGCTCCGGCCCGGTCCGAGGTAGGGCGTCGGTTGTAAGCGGCAGGAGTTTTTAGTGAGGTTCAACTCCCACATACCCCACCTGCCGCGCGGGTGGGGATCCGGCGATTTTCTCCTATGGAAGAAAAAAAAACGTGGCGAACGTCAAAGTAAACTTTTTTGTGAAATTTTAGCATAAAATGTGACAAAAAAATGTGTGCGTGTACTAGTGTACACACGTAAGAAGTGAAACTTCTTTATGGCCTTATTTTTCGAAAAATGATCTACATGCAACTTTCTAGAAATTGGTTAAATAAAGTTAAATTAGATAAAGTTTAAACAAAAGGATTTTATTATCATAGACATGAATACAAAAAAGTTAAATTAGATAAAGTTTAAACAAAAGGATTTTATTATCATAGACATGAATACAAAAAAGTTAAATTAGATAAAGTTTAAACAAAAGGATTTTATTATCATAGACATGAATACAAAAAAGATGGCGCGTAACGGAAAAATGTGACGCGTAACCGAAAAATGTGACGGTAAATTTTTTTCCAACGCCGATAAAGAAGTTTCACTTCAAAAATCAGTATTTTTTTAGGAATACTAAAGAAAAGCTGTAAACAAATGTCTTTGTCTGATAAAACGAGCGACACCCGCCCATACACTCTTCGTATTGATGTTTCATCCATCACTTATTTTATTGCTTCAGGATGCTTGTAAAATCAATACTTTCGCTTTAATGTGAATGTTCTGGCTCATTCTTTGAAAGTCTTTTATCTGACAAGGTCAGATGGAGGGCAGGTGGTCACGGGGTCGATCACCTACATTGGACAGACCAGTAAAAGCTGTGACACAGACGTCCTTGGTCCATAGTTCCAGAGACTTTGAGGATCACAACAAGTGGAGGACATTGCGGTGGCTGCTAAGCCAATGAGTATGCAGCGTCATCAACATCGATTACTCTGTCAAGAGTGAACAAATAAGATTGATTACATTAATTGAATACAGAAAGGACTTAACCGTACCATTTTAATCGATAATTGGCGAAACAAGAAAAAGCAAATTGCGTTCTAAGTGTCTTGAAATACCTTACTTTTTGTTTTACAATCTATACTTATATAATATAATATAATATAATATAATATAATAATATTATAAAGATAATATTATAAAGAGGAAAGATTTGTTTGTTTGTTTCGAATAGGCTCCGAAACTACTGGACCGATTTGAAAAATTCTTTTTCCATTAGAAGCCGACTTTGTCCCTGATGAACATATGCTACTTTTTTTTATTTTTTTTTTTATTTTTTTGAAGTGAAACTTCTTTATCGGCGTTGGAAAAAATTTACCGTCACATTTTTCGGTTACGCGTCACATTTTTCCGTTACGCGCCATCTTTTTCTTGCCCCTACCACGGTTGGTTCAGACGAAGAGTACTTTCACTTTCTCCAACGGAGTAGGGATAGCATTAATGTTTCACTTCTTACGTGTGTACACTAGTACACGCACACATTTTTTTTTTTTGGTTTCATGTGTGTTTTAATGTTTCCGAAGCGAAGCGAGGGCGGGTCGCTATAATATTATAAAGAGGAAAGATTTGTTTGTTTGTTTCGAATAGGCTCCGAAACTACTGGACCGATTCTTTTTCCATTAGAAGGCGACATTGTCCCTGATGAACATAGGCTACTATTTTTTATTTTTTTTTATTTTATTTTTTTGGTTTCATGTGTGTTTTAATGTTTCCGAAGCGAAGCGAGGGCGGGTCGCTAGTACAATATAAAAATTTGGGATTTTTAGAAAATTGACGATAAATAAATCAAGTATTCCAACTTGGATGATGTTTTGCTGAATGTAAAAATAAGCTCTAAGTGTAAATGGTTACAAAAAGAGCCCGAGTAACGTTGCCTGAATTTCACTACAACATTTCTTCGTAATAAGATGACACTCTGCAAAACTTGCATACACCCCGTCATGACCTATGCAAGCGTAATGTTCGCTCACGCGGCCCGAACCAACTTGAAACCCCTTCAAGTCATTCAATCCCGTTTTTGCAGGATAGCCGTCGGAGCACCATGGCTCCTAAGGAACGTGGATCTCCATGATGACCTGGAGCTTGACTCAGTCAGTAAGTATCTACAGTCGGCATCATTGCGCCACTTCGAGAAGGCGGCACGACACGAAAACCCTCCTGTCGTGGAAGGTCGGATTACGATGCAATAGGTCTATTAATTTGGCTTAAAATCCAAACCAGGATCACAGCAACGAAAAAAAATATTCCAGTTCGTCCCGCTATTGAAGCAGAGCTTTTAATGTATTCTTCATTATTGCATTATATGGGCTGACATTATTCTTTACTGGCGGTAGGACCTCTTGTGAATCCGCACGGGTAACTAACTATACTGAGACCTTACAACTTGTATCTCAAGGTGGGTGGCGCATTTACGTTGTAGATGTCTATGGGCTCCGGTAAGCACTTAACACCAGGTGGGCTATGAGCTCGTCCAACCATCTAAACAATAAAAAAAAATATATATTGAAAAGGCCCTTGAGATATTCTGTGGAACTATAAATAATGTTTATGAGCCGTTATAAATTCTATAAATTACAGCTAGGAAAATTTTAGAACGAGAAGTTAATTGAGATAATAATACTCCGACTCCGGACTATTTAAGAAAATATTTCGGCAGCAGCTAGAAGGAAAGCATGGACGTTTCACCTGACGGAAGCTATACTATGCTATAATATAATTCAATATATACTAGACTACGGCTATTTACTGCATAATCTTTTCAACAGGCCGGTACATTCATAAGAACTCACGTGCTTGCCATTGATCCACAATCGGCCCGTGATTAAAATTGAATCATTATGCTTTATTGAACACTAAAGTATTATCAAAAAAGTTTTATTGGTATTATTCCAAAGAAACCCAATCTTTTACATTACCTATTCACTTTCCATGTTCTTAACTTGTTATATCTCTGTTTTTAATTAATAATTAATTTTAATTATAAGCTCCGTCCACTGACTCATCGCAGGATTATGAAAGTAGGGCCGCGATCGGTCTGGCTAATACTAGACGTGTTGTAAATTAAATGCCAAGCATATCGTGTGGCCAATGCCAATTTTATCACGACGATTAATGCAAGATTACTCATGTAATTAATCAGTAGTTATAATGAGTCGGTTAATTTCGACAAATTTGTTGAGAATTCATTAATGTAATCGATTTCGTCGTTTACTTTTTGCTTTACAGAGGAATCATTATCGAAACTAAGATTTTGAGGTTGAAAACTGTATACGCGTGTGTGGTCTATGTGTGCCGAAAGCTGTACTTATAATTTTATGAAAAGCAAATGAATGAAAACATTCTCGCACATTTTTTACTAATACAAGTTTTAATACCCGGCATCGTTTTAACAGATTAGTTAAAAACAGCGCCCCTAGCGGCAAACGTGGGCAAACGTTCCAACTCCATACAAATTAAGAGTTAACTTTTACGCTATCGACAACGTTATAAAACTCGCACTAGGCACATCTAGAGCACTACGAACTTCTTCTTTGCCCACATCAACACAAGGGCTACTGTCAAAAATAATAATTAATTGTTGCTTTGTGACTATCCATATCTATTTTATTTTCGTATATCAACATTTTTAACTGATCTATTAAAACGACGCAAGAATGAGCATTAAAACTTAGATAAAAAATGTTCGAGAACGTTTTCTTTCATTACCGTTTCATAAAATGTTAGGTAATGCGACAGTAAAAACGGGATTATAGCAAAAATTTTCAGTAATTTATTTGATTGTTGTTTTGTTACGGCTGGACGTTTATGTTGTCTTGCTTATTAAGGAACTGTATGAATAATACGTGACTTGTAAAACGTGAGAGTAAAATTACTCAATGAGTGGATAGGCATGTTTAAATAGGGCTGCCCTTTAGGAAACTATAGCTTGCTAGAAGTACGAATTGATGAACTAGTAAGTCATATATTTATAAAACGACATCTGAAACTGAAATAATCTGAAACTAAATAAGTAATATCGTTATTAGAAGCGGTATTGTTAGGAGCTTTTCTTCGTTTTGTAGCCGATGGATATCACACATTACTACCACGTATAAATGAAAGAAAAAAATAGCATGAGGTATAATGTCTTTTGGTTATGTAGTCGCATTACGATCCCATGCTGGCTTTCATCCGTGACAAGCCGCTCGGAATGTGTTCGTATCTTTTCAAAGCAATATAATTTTGCAGCGCTTAATCTGCATCGAAGACACTTTTAATCATCAAAGAAACTACATACTCCTCTTAAAAGAGCATTTCATGAAAGACTTACCCGTCATAATATATCACGAATATTTCTAAAACATTTAATATATTTTTAACATCGTTTGGGCTCTGATGATAAGAAATCCTAGTTACCTACAGACGCTGATTTGTAAAAAAGGTCTGGCAAGAGGTCGCCTAGAGAATTTTGCCATTTTTGATTGGTCTTGCTATGTCATGTCACGCTTTTTTTTACAATAAAATCATTTTTTCTTACACTATTTTTAATTAAAATTTATTAAAATTTATTTTCTATTTTTAGTTGGATTTTCTATAAAAGCGTATTTTATTAGTTTGTTTAAACTATTATTTATTTTTCATTTTTTAGTTGAATTTAATTTTTTTCAATTTTGATTTTTTGATATGAATTGTCATCAGTTCTTAATAAGTATACCAAATTTCAAGTTAATCCGACGTTTTGAAGGGGGTCAAAATCATGTTCAAAGATTCCGTTACAAACATACATACATCTGAAGCTAATAAAAGCGTATTAAAAACCGCCACCAGCTCCACTTCGATAAAGCGGCCCGACACGAGAACCCTCTCATCGTGGCCGCCGGTAACTACATTCCCGATCCTGCGGAAAGAATGGAAAGCAGTCGACGTCGCCCAAAACACCTCATTTCGGATCCTCCGGATCCACTAACGGTGCTTTTTGGGTACTTCAAGCACCGGTCACCGTTCTCGTCGAACCCGCCGCTTGCGACAAAGGGCTGGACGAGTAAATTAACCCTCAGACACAGCCCACTGAGTTTCTCGCCGGATCTTGTCAGTGGGTCGCGTTTCCGATCCGGTGGTAGATTCTGCGAACCACTACTCTTGCTAAGGTCCGTGTTAGCAACGTCGTCAGGTTTGAGCCCCGTGAGCTCACCTACTAGTTAGGTTACGCTGGAATAGCCTCTCAAGGCTAACAGCTTAGGTAGAAAAAAAAAAAAAGACCACCAGCCCTAACAAGGTCACAGTAGTAAACAGGTCGTTGGTTCGAGAGGGCGCGTCGAGTCGGTAACAGTTATGAAACGTTGGAGCGAAGCCACGTAGTCACAACGACCTGCCGAGTGACGAGCGTCGAACGAAAACTGTGTAATGTTCATTGTGCATAATAATGTCAATGTTAATTGATTGTACTACATTGAACAATCGCAATGGGCGCCGTGAAAGACAACTCTAGAAGCGTGTTCTTCGTTAAATAATGTCGATTCGCCCTAGACACGTCCTTGCGGATCCATTAGATCCAATAACTCTTGCATTAGATACCTCCAGCTCTAACACTAGGAGCAGGCTTAGGGATCCCAGTAACCATACTCGTCGAACTCGGCAATTGACATTGGTGTAAGTGATTTTTGCATTCAAATCGCTAACATATTACTGCAATCACTAACACACACTAATAAGTTAAGTTACCTGTCTTAACGGAAAAAAAAACGTTACATGGTTTCTGTAGGTACACATCTTCTAAATACTTTATACCTAATAGAGTACCTGAGGTTTGTTTTTCTCACTTTATATTTAAATACAAAAAAGTTAAGTATTCCTGCTACCACTAATACTACTATTACACTAGCTGTGAAATTGTGATAATACTAGTGACAAGCGCCCACCCCGACTCGTGCAAGAAGATTTATAGGTTTTCAACGAAAATAACACACATTTGGTTCAAGTCCAATGCGGAAAATCAATGCGTTGATTAACTTTAACAATAGTTAGAAATATCCGATATATTCGATCGATGAAACTATTATTTTATTCACATAGTTATAATAAATTAATATAAATATTATAATGCGCATTTGTATTCTATTCATACTGTAAATTAGTTTAGGATATACAGGAAAATAAATATTTGGTCAAGTCACCTGGGGAATATCTAGTGTTACTACTTTCTAATTATCGGTTCATAGCAGCTGTATCCTTATGTGATAACATAATCCTCCCACTAATTTCTATCATAATTTTCCTACGCTCCTACATAAAAAAGGCTTGATGTCAGACAACAACGGCAACCTTAATAATACTCATTACAACATGGATAACAAACATTAGCGATGATTATCATATCTTATATATTTTTTTTTTAATAAATAAATAAATAAATAAATAAATATTTACTAACAATCACGCCACGTTAACTGGTCCCGTGATAAGTTCGTAAAGAACTTGTGTTACAGGTACCAGATAACGGTAATAAATGTAAGATTTTTATTATACACATACATATATTTAATATACATCCATAACCCTGGAAAAGATATTTATCATACAAATATCTTCCCTTGGCGGGATTCGAACCCGCGACCCCCTTGTGTAGTGACCATGTCACTTACCACTACACCAGACGACCTTTATTAAAAAATAATAAGATCGTCTACAAACTCATAACTTCTAAAATACTTTGAAATTGATTTTTCTAGTGTTATAAAATTTTCCAATGTTATTTTCCTATAAAGATTCGCATATGCATTAAGATAGTTCTTGTTTACAGGTTAACACACCTATAAAGTCCCATAACCAATGACCCATTGGTAACTCAATTTAAACATCCAATTCACATTGAACTTACCGTAAAGATATTTTACAACGAAAGCGACACGATTGTCCCAGGAATACGCCATTTTATATTAAATAGTTTTAAAATATAAATATGTGGCTATCAGCACAAATTAATTATCCAATTTCACAATATATATTTTTTAATATTTCGGTACGTTTGACACACGCGTCTGAACGCGCGGACTGGATTGCACTGAAACTTCAAACCGAACGCCCGCGCATTTCGTGAAACGCTAATGTACCAGTGTTTATTTTATAAATAAGCAAAAGCTACTTTATCAAACATTCCGGAAGAGTTATTTTCTTTTGATTCGTTTGGTTAAAGTACGGCTTTTATGATTCCGAACAGTGAGTACGTACATATGTTAGATCTAGAATCTTGGTCAATTCGATAATCTTCATATTGTTAAACAGCTGTTTTATTGTTAACTGTATCCAACCTGCTAAAATCTTACAAGAGCCCATGGACATCACGACGTGAACGCTTCTGCTAGAAACATAAGATTATACTGAAATGAATATGTAGGTACTCCTGCAAGCAACATGACTGCCAGCAATATGTTCACCTTTTTTTTTTCATTTCCTACCTAAGCTGGTGGTAGCCTTTAGAGGCTATGCCAGCGTTAAGTCGTCGTTGCCTAAAGGATGAGACGTCCGATGCATTCGTGTTGAGCGATGCACCGGTGTTCGAATCTCAGGCGGGTACCAATTTTTCTAAGGAAATACGTACTCCGTTACGTTTTACCGTATGTTCCATGGGGAGTGCTCTGAGGAATTGTTCGAGATGATACCAGCATCTCGTTTTTACCATCGCACCGCCCGCCACCGGAGTAGAGTTCATCCATACTACCTGGAGCCACTGCGGTCATCCACAGTGCGTTTCCAGAGATCTTTTTTGCCACGTACCATCCGGCTATGGAATGAGCTCCCCTCCTCGGTGTTTCCCGAGCGCTATGACATGTCCTTCTTCAAACGAGGCTTGTGGAGAGTATTAAGCGGTAGGCAGCGGCTTGGCTCTGCCCCTGGCATTGCTGAAGTCCATGGGCGACGGTAACCACTCACCATCAGGTGGGCCGTATGCCCGTCTGCCTACAAAGGCAATAAAAAAAAAAAAAAAACTCAAAAGTTCACGATTGACTTCCACGGTGAAGGAATAACATCGTGTAATAAAAATCAAACCCGCAAAATTATAATTTGTGTAATTACTGGTGGTAATACCTCTTATGAGTCCTCACGGGTAGGTACCACCACCCCGCCTATTTCTGCCGTGAAGCAGTAATGCGTTTCAGTTTGAAGGGTAGGGTAGCCGTTGTAACTATACTGAGAACTTAGAACTTAAATCTCAAGGTGGGTGGCGCATTTACGTTGTCTATGGGCTCCGGTAACCACTTAACTCCAGGTGGGCTGTGAGCTCGTCCACCCAACTAAGCAATAAAAAAAACCAGGCGCTTAGTAATAGAAATCAACATAAGTAATTCAGTGCGCTATGTAGGTCACCGGTGACCTTTTAGTGCCATGTAGGTCACCGGTGATCTACATGGCACTAACAAGATTAATACATCCCATTGTTCTTTAAATCCATACCGCATTCCAAGATCACTAACGCTAAATGTTTTTACGAAGCAAGCATACTTACGCTATTTTGGACACAGGTATTTTGATCGGCTTTCCAGCAACGCTGCATGCACTCCGAGGGATAATCTGATGACCGATATATCATGCTTCACTTGGACTAAAAGTCGCCTTACCTTAAAAATTAGATGCCCGGTGTATTCGTACCAAGTGACGGGAATATGTATTCAAATTCCGCATACCGGTATAATTTTTTCATCAAAGAATCAATTAACCAAACATCATTGATATGTAACCTAAAAATCGCACGAAAAGCAGATAATCTTGTGCCTTGTTATCAAAGATTTGCTGTTTTTTTTTATTTAGGTGGGTAGCGGCATTTACGTTGTAGATGTCTATGGGCTCCGGTAACCTCTTAACACCAGGTGGGCCGTGAACTCGTCCACCCGTCTAAGCAATAAAAAAACAATAAATTTTTTTGTTAAATCTTTACAAACTTCTACATAGTACACTTAGTAAGCACTATCATGAAATTAAAGTTTCTGGAAGAAGAAAAAAAAACAAAGCAATCACAATCTCACATTTATTAAAATCATCACACATATCACGAACAACACTAATATTATTCTCATATTTATTTTTTATATAATAATTTTATATCATAATTTATTAAATATAATAGCTGTCAATGTTACTTAATTGGAATTATATTCTGTAAAACATTTAAAATACAACTCACTTTTACGATAACAATTGACGTTGTGCTTAAATTACCTTAATTATAAGAATGTTAATAATTTAACTCCAATGCATGCTTGGAATAGTAGGTAATATTTTATTTGAGAATTTTGCATTATAACATTTAAGTGTTATATCCAGATTTCTGGATCATATACATACATAGGTCTTATTATAGCAAATTTATCAGAAAATATTATTCTTATTTAATTTTAATCTATTACATATATTTATACGTCACGTTTCCTATCGACTGAGTTTCTCGCCGAATCTTCTCAACGAGTCTTCGATTCCGACCCGATGGTAGATTCAGCGAAGCACTGCTCCTGTTGGGGCTTGTGTTAACAAATACTCTTTTTTTTAAGTTCTAGTAACCTCAAGTTATGTCAATTTACCAGAAATAAAAAGGCTTTATTATTATTATTATTATTATTATAACCTCAAGGGGTTATTCTAGATTCACCGTGCTAGTAGGTGAGTTCACGGGGCTCAAACCGGGAGTGTTGCTAACACTGCCCCTAGTTAGAGCAGTGCTTCGCAGAATCTACCTCCGGATCAGAAACGCGACCCACTGAGAAGATCCGGCGAGAAACTCAGTGGCCTCAAAGTCTCTCAGGCTGAGCCCCGTGAGCTCGCCTAGACACCCGGTGAAACCAGAATAGCTCCGAGGCTTTTAGTCACAGAATAGATAAATAAGGTGCTTTTAGTAAGTTCCGTCAATCCGTGCTTTTAGTAAATAGGTAATCAAAAAAAACACGTTTCTCAATATTGATGTGTGTTTGTATTTCTGCTTCACACAGCAACAGTACAGATGCTTGTCCGGTGCAGACTTGTTTCCTCTGGTTCAAGTTATCTCTACTAATATACTGATTGAATTATATTTTATTTAAATATTCCGTACATATTATTAGGTATATTTGTTTATAGAGTAAGCCGTAAGTTTCTTACCGTTTCCCTGAAGCTGCTTTCAGAATCGGTGCTAAAGTCATGATGTTTCAAAAGCCCCGGTCAAGACCTACTTAAATAAAAATCTATTTGATTTGATTCGAATGGTATAAGGTTTATAAGGAAATATGGGAAAATGCTACAAATCTTTCCAATACCAACATCAATTAAAATTATTTACGTTAGCTGATATATTTTATACTTTTCGTAAGTACCTACACATTTGTTACAAAGCGTAAACTCCATGGAGGTAACATTTAAATTACCAGCTGTCCACTTCGTTGATCTAGCTTTTAGTCGGGTTCGGCGTGCACATAGTGTACTTTCTAGCAAATAGTATATTCGGAACCTATCAACTATAATATACTATCAATTTTAGAAGAGAAACTCCTAATTTCGGAGCATTTTATCACTGTTCAAACACATTTTAAGATCGTATATTACAAAGCTACAAAAATGTATTCTAACTCATCGAACTCAACTCACAAAGAGATTTCGTTGTTCGACTGTACTAGATCATCACTAATAGTTTTTTTTCTTCTAATAATTAAGCTACGGTTTTAATACAATGAACTCACCACCTGTCCATATTATAATCGAAATAAATCAATGAAAGCAGAATTTGCAAAATTTTCAAGGAGAATATAATAGGCATACCTATATGATATATCTACACTTGAATACGAATTCCGCAAGGAACCTCAAATTATCTGTTCTATCTCTTTAAATATCCGAACAAATCTAATAAAACATAGTTTTAAATAGTTAAACCATTATTTAAAAAGTATACGCAAAATCCACTTAATACTTTTTAACGGTCGTTTTAAAAATTAAGTATGTTTTAAATTTCCTTAAACGATCAATTAGTGCCGTTTTCATAGAAACCAAATGTAGGCGAGTCCAATCGAATCGTCACTTATGTGGTACGAGATCACAAAGGATTACTATAAATTCTTATTTGAGACCGCTACATAATAATATATTATCTGTGACATTATTAAAATTGCCGCCAAAAGATGACGTAGTATAAAAGTGTAACAGTAGTCTCGCATGTTTAAAAGGGAACTATTAAACAATCGCAGCCTGAATTGGTCATGACCTCCGTCGCCGAGATTTGTCGAGGGGTGAAGAAGGCGGTTATAATCGCTGTCTGAATTGTGGTTCGCCATGACCTCCTTCGCCGAGAATTGCCGAGGGGTGAATAGGGCGGTTGTCTATAGAAAGTGAAACCCACGTCTACGAGCAGAACGCTGGATGAGTTAGTCTCCTTTAAGCACCACGTCTCATCATTTGCATAAATAGATTATTACTGCATACAGTACATTGAAATAGTACGACGGAGTCTGAATTTGTGCAGCCACCATTAAGAAAGCGTAAACACTAATTTTTTTACAGTTAATTTTTTTATCGTTTCAATAAAATTCAGCATTAAAATTACTGCAGCTATATTCAAATTCATTGTCATAATTTCACTGTTCTAAAAATGGCAACGACCTATTCTATGCCCCGCTTGTGTAATCTCCCCAACTCTATACAAATCAAGCAGATTTATTATATTACCTTTTAAAGATGCTATATTACGCAGAAAATGTTATAGCGTTATATCTTAGCGAAACGATACACTGAACATAGCGCAAGGTACATAAATACATCCTTAGACTATCGTTTCAAACCTTATCCAAAGAAGAACATCGCAGACATTAATAAAGACCAAAACTAAGCACAGCCACATATTTCGTTTACAACATCACCGACAGAACGACTACCCGCATTCTTGATTAATAATTACGCCTCACGCTACTACACACGCCCACGCCGCATCCCAGGAAAACTGAAAACGTTACTACCTATAAAATATAATTGAACATAGTTTAAAATAATATTAATCCAAATAAATTGAACAATAAATAACTACAAGTTTCTAATACTTTGACTATTTAATCATTTAGACTTACAAGTACATTAAAATATTAGTCATTAAAAATATTAATTGGAGAGAAAACAAATTATCACCGACTCAGCTAAAGCTAAATCGTACTGCAATATCAAATTAAGTCAAAAATTTTTTTGTTGGCGTAAATATATAAATAAGCTGGTATTAGGCCTGCTGGTATGAAACTCCAAAAGTTACCTTGCTACCTCGATATGAACGCCATTGTCCCTTTGAGACGCGTGCTAGTAATTTCATTTCCATTTGAACACTTGAGTGTCCTACAAAGCAAACGCATATTTGTTTTGTGACAAAAATATACAAACCGGTGTTACCGTTGCATATTGCTGAAATATACCACTCTATCGCAAGTAGAAAAAACTCCCTACATTACATAATTAAATTTCAAATATACACATTTTAAATAATTGATCTAGAAATGAAACTAATAAAAAATAACACAATACTCTATGCAAGAACAGAGTTCTCTTTGGTTTTAATAAAACATTAGCTTCTTAAATTAATACTTTATAGTTGAATACATATAATTTTATATCTTATATGCCTATCATATCGTCGAAGACAATAATATTATTCTTAATATTAATGTTTGTATCTCTGACAAGCTCAAATTATTTTTAATTTAGCATGACATTTTCAGAAAATATCGCTAATTTTTATAGTTTAATTCTATATTACGAATAATATATCATTATATACATATCAAATATATTAAAAGTTAATAATAACAATCAAATAAAATTTATTAAACATTTTAAATATATCATTTTTGAGTTTGTTACTCTGAATAATGTTACCAGAGGTGTTTATTTGTTAATTTTTGTTTTTAGTTGTGAGCAAATAAATGAGAATACTTAAGTATTAGCACAAAGCAAAGTCTAAGTACACGTTTAGGTATATAATTCACAATACACTATATCAGAAAAAAGACAATTTGAAGTTACCTTAAATTTATGAAAATCTAAAACTTTGAATAGTCCTCGATTGCATACAATCAATCACATAATGCATTTTTTCGCCTCTTACGAGATCTGCAGAACGAATTGCACACATTGCGCACACACACAAGCACCATTAAATTTTGGAAAAAATGATCAACCCATCCCTTATAAATGTGTTCAAATTTATTTATTAATAATATTTTTTATTTATTTAATTGGGAACATCAATTTTGATAAAATTATAATCGTTGGACGTTCGTAATATGTTTCGTACAAATAATATTATGCATATTAAAATTAAAGGAATGATTTCAGTATTTTTAGAATATCAAATGTGCTCTTAGTCCACCTGGCGTTGTGTTCTTTCAGTGGTACCGCTAAATTTGCCTTGTATAATAATAATTATACCTTTTTTCATTATTCAGGATTAATGACGTGTATCTATCATTTCGACTATGCCGCTGACAACGTATGTGACTAGGTGTTAACTGGTAATCATTTAGGGTATTAGGGTATTTAGGATAGGTTCTGCGCCCTCTATCTGCGTCTTATCAACGTCTTGCTTAGGAAAGACGCTTCTATAGAGGACTACGACAAGCATACCTGGGTCGCCCACTGAGTTTCTCGCCGGATCTTCTGGGTCGCGTTTCCGATCCGGTGGTAGATTCTGCGAAGCACGGCTCTTGCTAGGGCCAGTGTTAGCAACAACGTCAGGTTTGAGCTCCGTGAGCTCACCTACTCGCCCGGTGACGGTGATATGGTATCTCAAGACCATCAGCTTAGGTAGGAAAAAATGCCTGGATCCTTGTCGTAATACGGTTCAGATTCGATCACGGGTCAATGTTACCTTTGGCTCATTAGTGCGATTTGACAATACATTTTTTTTTATTGCTTAGATGGGTGAACGAGCTCACAGCCCAGCTGGTGTTAAGTGGTTACTGGAGTTCATAGACATCTACAACGTAAATGCGCCACCCACCTTGAGACATAAGTTCTAAGGTCTCAGTACAGTTACAACGGCTGCCCTGCCCTTCAAACCGAAACGCATTACTGCTTCACGGCAGAAATAGGCAGGGTGGTGGTACCTACCCGCGCGGAATCACAAGTTGTCCTACCACCAGTAAAAACTGTAAAATGCTGTAGATTTCGTAATTAATACACGTCAAAGTTGGTCACACACACACACACACACACAGGGGTGCTACATTTCGTCGGTGAGGGCGCTGCTCGAGGGGTGCGGCTCGGCGGCCGTGCTCAGACTGCCGTAGGTGGGGCCGCTCCGGGACACTCGCCAGCGTCCCCGGCGACGGGTTATGCCTGTTCAAAACATTACAATCTATCTGTCCATTTTTACTTAAGCAACGATATAAGGAAACGAAATTATATTATTGCCTAAAAATTGCATAGCTGAAATTACTTTACCTGCACATGATAGTAAAAAAATTAAAAATTAAAAAACCTCCATTTTCGAACACTGTCTATTTTAATATTACACAAAGCTAATCTATGTATATTAAGGGTGAACCATTGAATCATAATTTAACTATTCACAAAAAAAAAACTAACATGCAAAACTGTACAAAACGTATGAAATCGAATGAATTTTGGAATGTACAATGTTCGATTAGAATACAACAACTATCGATGTAGATATGTATGCGAGCTATTAGGGATGGAGTTACACGGTTTGGGCGCACAGGGAGGATCCATTCTCAAAAATACACCACGGTTAGTTCAATGGGGTAAATGGCAACGCGAACGCACCCATAAGACACACCCTAATTTCATTTTATTTATTTTATTGAAGTTATACTTCTTTAGGCGCGTTATGAGAAATTCATGAGAGTGTAATTTTACGATGCGCGCGCACCGTGACACAAAATTAACAGAATGAAGTTGCCCACTAAATCGCTCATTACAATACGACCGACGTAACTTGGCGAGTCTGAATATAGCCTGCGGCTATATTTAAAGAAGCAAACGAATAATTCTCTGCTCGCTTTAGGTTAACAGTTTATAACCAACCAATAAATAATTTAAAATAAAATTACGTATTTAATACTGATCGTGTTATGACACTTATGACAAAGTTTTCAAGAACTTGCACTTAATTATCGTGCACTTCAAATTTCCTACGATGCGTAGTGATAACAACAATTCACGAGTACTTTTATGATAAAACGATATCTTCATTACGATAATTACACTGTATTAGGGTTGTTTCATTTAAAATGTTTTTATATGAACGAAATTTTCATAATTCGAGCTAAAGAATAATAATGGACGCAGCTACTAAGAACAAAATATTATAACGTTCTCAAATCTATTTCAATTAGAGCATAGCTAAATAAAGAGACACTATTAAGACCACTAATAAAAATCTACCAAAAAACTCGTTTCCATAATCTGGCAACCCTAACTATCAACGCGGCAAGATAAAGAGACTTGTACTCTTCGATTAGACTACGAGGTAACTTAGTGGAAAAGCGTAACTGGAACAATAAACACCAGTGTTAGGCGTTCTTGGTGCGATTGTAGTTTTAAACAATTTTTTGTATCAAGTGTGAAATAAATTAACATTTAATATTTATATGATTTATAAAGCTGTGAGTGAGTATTCACTACAACTACATCTCTGACATAAGAAATAAACAAAAATCTTCACACTCTTAATTAACAAGTCACAATATATTATGTTGAAACACTTGCTAGCGACAATTTCACACTTGGTAAAAAAAATATATAAACATTTTTAATGTCAACTCTATGATTCTTGCTGTTTTTTAATCAATACTGTGGTCTATTTCTAATGTGGTTTCTGAAATAAAAATGTTTTCTTACGTTGTTTTGATTCGGACTGAGAAGCTCCTGTCATAATATGCATTAAAAAGAAAATTGTCAAAATTTATTATTTTTGTACATTGGACCTTTGCAACAAGACTTACAAGTGCAACATGAATAATGATTATGATTTCATCTCATTCTGTTACTTATTTAAAACTTTTCATAACAAAAAAATAAACAAAAAGTTCCAAAAAAGTAACATTCATGCATGGCAAGACGGTCATGCTGTTTGCAACTTGGCAACACTAACGTGTGCTAAACGTGCATAGGTGCTAAAAAATGAAAATAAAACCAAAAAAATACATAAAAAGCCCAATTTATTTAAACCTATGACAAAATTAAGTGTCGGTCGGTACATTTAAGCCATAACCTTTGGACCAATACATTCTCTAAATTAAGTACTACGATTAAGTAGGAGATTCCTGTTTTGTAAACTTGATATTACAAACAAAACTGTTCTTTATATTTTTTATGTAAAACATGACATTAGGAACGCGTGAAGTTAACAAACTATAGTATATAATATAAAAAAAATCTCTTCTCATTAATCACATAATATTATAATACAGATCGTGTAAATAATACATAAAATAAAAACACATTTCTCAATTTCGGTGACGCTTTACAGATGTACCTGTAAAGACAGACAGCTCCGTTTTATGTATATATTTTAATTTCATTAAATCAAGGAGCCCTTCAACCAACACCGAATTAGTATTTCACCCTTAAACGCTTGCTAATGGAATTTCTAATTCATTTGAATTTGCATTTAACTTAGTACATTTTAATTCAATAATGCTCTGACTATCGAACCATCTTATTTTTGCATAATTTACAAGTCAGAACACAAAGCCATTTAAGGGCCACCAACAACGTTAGTTAGTCTATTTTATTTAAAAGTATAAATTAACAGAATGTGCATGATGATAAATAAGGAGGTAACGTGAAATGAAAAAATTGACCATACACCATTTATTGCTTTGTTTTTCATTTTCCAACCCATTACCAAGAAAAAACATGCTCCAGAGAGAAGATTGTCTTTGTTAAATTTAATTTATTTAGTATTTATGTAACTGTTTTACATTTACAGTAGAAAACGGTGGTGGATGGTCACCTACGTAAAGCCTACTTTAATGCATACTGATAAGTCTCAAAATCATTTAGCTTGTAAATCTCAATTTCGTTCACATTTCTTAATAAATAATATTCAAACTAATTTCATAAATTAAGTGAAAAACAGGTTAAACATATATTATAAATTATTTAATAATTATTAATGTATTAAATTATTAATGTATTAAACTATTAGTGCAAATAGTTTATATTTTGCACACATATAAATATTCTCCAAAGTGCTACCAACCCTTTGAACTCATTAAAAAAAATCTATCAAAGTTCTCGGTTTTAATAAGTAACATTGCAGTGAGCGACTTCGTTTTTTATTACTAATAAAACATTTTCTCTGAACGTTTAATAATATTAGTCGCTCCAAAATCTTCTAAATAATAATAATTTAATTAGTCAATTCATTTAACATTTTAGTGTATTATAATTTAAATTGTGTATTTCATAATTGACGAATGAAAATAAAAAATAAAATTTGAGACTTCAGAATTAATATTTGATCATTTGTTTAAAAGTTCTCAACCACGATATTGCATCAGAACAACCACCAATATTCAATGTCTTAAACGTTATTATTTAATAATTTCTTTTGAAACGTATAAGAACATTACGGCGGAAGCAGATAGCGACACGTCACCAACAAATATCAATAATAAATTATAATTATTTTAGTTGACAGCAAAAAAAAAAAAGAAAATAAATAGTTAAAATTTCTTCATTAAAAAAATAAACGGCATGCATATTAATTATAGAAAAAAAAACATTTGTTACTTTAATGTAAATACGCAGTTTTATACCATGTACCATAAAACAGGTTAGAAACCAGTTTGTTGGAAGTGTAATATAAAATAACATATTGTGTTGTTAACTTAACAAAATACAAAGAAAAAGGTAAAAAAATAAAATAAAACCGCTCTCCCTGATAAATATTTTTGTGACCTTCGTTAGGTAAAACTGTGTTAATATAATATTAATAATTATTATATATTATTTACTACAAGCAAAACGAAAAGAAAGACTCAAATGGTTTAATTTTACAAATAACATTATTTTAACATTACAGTGCAGAGCTGTACATAAAACGGATCCATCGTTTATTTCTACAAAATGAACATTGAAGCATTTTATATAATATATTTAATAACAACTAAATATATCCTGACCTGAACGTTGTTCTCAAAGTCACAAAAATATTTAACGAAATATAAATTAAAAAACAAAATACGAAAACAAGGCCGTAACAGTAAGTAGCATTTCAAGTAGCATTTCTCTAAATATAAAACACTCAGGAATAAAATAATACTGCTCACGTGTGTACGGATAGAAAAATACTAATTGAAACATTTAATATGCGACTTGTTTTAATATTGTACAGCATACATGGACGCGTTGTTTGCCTGACGAAATTGTATTATACAATGTTTAGCTGAGCATTATTTGCAAAAATAATCCCCATAGACCGTTAGGTTACAATCAAATATTTCCGTGTAAACGTTAGCTAGCACTAAAACATTCGACATTCGTTTTTTTATGTATTCATGGATAGCGCGCAATGTAACACAAAGCTGTCGTGCCGGGTAAACGAACTCAAACGACACGGGGTCGGCTTGCAAGTGACACTAAATACTTTCCGCGCGTCAAACATCTATTGTATCCAAAATCTGTTATATCGGTCGTACGGGCAGACACATTTTTAAGGTTCTTAGATCTTAAATGTGACGAAACTAATGCGAATTAACTATTACTGTAAATGTGTTCATTTGTTAATACTTAAAGTTCTTAAAGTTTTTTTGCTCTTTCAAAAATGTATAGAAAACATTTTATGTATTTACTTATCATCTTATATAGGCAGACTGAGTGAACTAGATTTTTTTCTGCCATTATGTCGTATAGCAGTACTTAGAGTAGACAAACAGTTTCCTAGCTTACGTTTACGCAGCCTCCGCGCGTCTCAGCTAAACATCGTCCGTGCAAGCTCACGAGGGTATCGAGTCGAACGTGTACTCTCTGTAATATGTGGGGTGGCCGTGTCTTACTCGTGTGAGCGAACTTTCGGCGACCGTCGTCTCGTTGCCGCGCCGCCTCTGGTTGGCCAGCTTCTGTTTGTTAACCGGCGAACCTGCGAACATCGTCATCTACCTCGCTTCAACTTTCCCAACAACAATACTATCGACAAATGCGGATCCCGTGCTCACGGCTGTGGGTCCTGTGGGCTCAATACTGGCGGTAGGTCCGGTAGTCGTCGTGGCCTAAAGAATAAAACGTTCGGTGCATTCGTATGTAGCGATGCAACGGTGTTCGAATCCCACAGGCGGGTATCAATTATTTGTATTGAAATACGTACTTAAGAAATCTTCACTATTGACTTCAACGGTGAAAGAATAACACCGTGTAATAAAAATCAAACCCGCAAAATTATAATTTGTGTAATTACTGGTCCTACCCTCTTGTGTGAGGTAGGTACCACCGCCCCGCCTATTTCTGCCATGAAACAGTAATGCGTTTCGGTTTGAAGTGTGGGGCAGCAGTTGTAACTATACTGAGACCTTAGAACTCATATCTCAAGATGGGTGGCGGAATTTACGTTGTAGATGTCTATGGGCTCCAATAACTACTTAACACCAGGTGGGTTGTGAGCTCGTCCACCCATATAAGCAAAAAAAGGTAGGTAGTGTTGCGACCCTCCCCCCTCCCCCAGATGGGTATGTCCCATTTAAGTTTGCTGTTAATGTCTCGAGGGTGGCGACGCTCACATTATGATGCTTAAATGGTCCGGTGATCCACGAACACCAAGTAGACCGTGAGAACATCTGAACAACTAATGTACTACAGTAAAAATGTCTTTGTCTCGTCTCTTGTCTCCTGGCATACTCAAAGTTTATTGAAGTGAAACTTCTTTAGGCGCGTTGAGAGTCAAATTTAACTCGCTACCGATTCGTTACGGCTAGAGAGAAAAGATACAATTTAGGAAAAGCGAGAGTGAGAAAACCGAAAGAGCGTCTCGCGAACCGCTCGACCGTAGCGAGAGAGAAAGAATAAGGCGAGCTAGGTCGTATCTCTTATACAAAGCATTTCCTATTACGATTTTAATTTGATTTAAGGATGAAAAATCAAGAAAACCACAATACCGCACACCATAAAAGAAGTTTCACTTCTTTTTTTTTTCAAATTTTTTATCAGATTAGTATATGGAGAAGTCTTGTTCATGCGGCCCCACCTACCGCTGATAGGATAAAGTTAAATAAAAATTTTCAACGTAAAAACAACCTAATCTAATCGATGCTTACCTTAAAACACTCAACCTCGTAAACACTTGTAGTTTTTGTAATGCAATTCCACTGTTAAAAGTCTATCGTTTGTTATTGTTGTCTATGTTTTTTTACTATCAACTCTGATTTCTAATGAGCATTTTGGCACGTTCAATGGGTAGACAAGTTCACATTCCAGTCCACAGTAAGCAATACCGAGAGTCTAGACACAGCCTAGTGAGTGCCTAGTGAATAGAAAGGACAGGCCAGACCGCGCGAACTCACAGAACTTTGTTTTTTTTTTCCACCAATAACAGTACTTAATTAATTTTCTATAAATTCAAGGCAGGCCGGCTAGCTTTTTAAGTTATTCCATCACTCTGTCTGCTTTATTCAATTTGCACGATAAACTAATAGGGAATTTATATTTGACATATTTGATGTAAAAAACAGCATACTGATACACAAAACGACAGTAATACGAATACACGAATCAAACACGACATGTTAATTATTTGCTTTGAGTTTGCCGTCTGTCCGTACCTCTCGACTGATATCGAAAAAAGACAAAAATAATAATCCCAAACTACGGCAAATTCTAAGCGTATAGTCAAATACAAAAACAAATTAAGTATACTTAAAAATACATATGAAATGTAGCTTAAATTAAAATTTTCCTTCACAACTTTTGTTAGTAATAGGCGAAAATCAAGCGAAATTATAACAAAATATGTATGTATGTATGTATATAACAATAAATTTTAATAAGTTAGTTAAATATAATGAATAAATATGTTCGTTGGAAATTCATTTATGACGTTTTAAACATTTAAGTGATGTAAGCTCAAGTGCATATTGTACGTACATAGCTCAGTGTGTACTCGCATTTAAATCGCGCCAAATTGCTAGAAACAGATCGGCACTGACGCGCAACATGAACCCGAACTAAAAAATATCGAGGATTGAAAACCTATGTGGTTTAAGCTACATTTTGCAACTTTAAAGGGAAACCATGTAAAGTATAAATTTGAAAAAAATCTATCATAACAAAAAATACTTCTCCAGCTATATTAATGGAGTAAACTTAATCGAAGTTCCATTAAAAACGTCGAACCGTTGATACTAATCTATACATATAAATAAAATTGGAGTGTCTGTTTGTAATATTGAAATAACCGCTTTTTGCTATATGCATTTGAATATATATGCGGTACATACACCCAAATAACATTTTTTACAATTTTTGTCTGTCTGTCTGTTTGTTCCGGCTAATCTCTGGAACGGCTGGACCGATTTTGACGCGACTTTCACTGATATGTAGCTGATGATATAAGGACTAACTTAGGCTACTTTTTTAGACAAGCTTCGCCCCGCGTCGTCACCCGTGATACGACAATAACCGCGGGTAACATCGCGGGACTCAGCTAGTATAATATAAAACGGACATTTATTACAAAGATAAATGTCGCTTAAACCAAATAAATATCCCTTTCACCCCTCGATATGAACAATGTATCGAAACAAAATACTAACAAAAAAATCAGATCAAGTACATAATGAATGTAGCAAATACAATATGCAAACGAATTACGAATAAATCATGAAAATGTTGTAATGAAGAAACAAAAATAAAAGGTCCAATATACAGGCGAAATAAAATAAAAATAAAACAAGTGTGCAAAATATAAACAGAGAGCATGCACAGTCGTGAAGAAGTTCATTGTGTTCTAAACGTGATGTGTGATTGTTTTTATATTAAACAAAATGAGCCTTAATGCTTGTAGGATAAGGACTCAATAATCATACCACATTTGTGTTGTGTTCAGCCGTATTATGTGTTTGTAACAATGCAATAGGGACTTTAAGTCTTGTGTGCCAAGATGGGAAGTGGTATGCACCCCGCCGTGTCTACGGAGGCCGGTAAGCGCTTGGCATGGGTCAGATCATCTGTCCATCTCGGTGACAATGAATCTTGTAACAAGTTTCTGTTATGTTTATTGTAAAAGTGAATAATATCGTAAAATCATAAAACCCGTAAATTGAAACAACTGCAGCTACTGATAACATTAGCATGGTGACTCAACACGGGTTTCCAACACAAAGCTAGCTAGTTCCTAGTACACAGTATCCTAGTACATATTATTATATAAAACCATTTGAGCGCGAACCGTCGATATATCGACTCTGTATTAATTGGGTATAAATTGCGGAGCGTCAGAATACCGACTATTGCGCAGTTTGATTAAGGGTGTTAGGTATCGACCTATTGCGTTTTGAATTACTTTATAACATTTATAATTAACCATTTAAAATTATATTAGTTTTTTTTAGGTTAAAGTTTTTTTATAAGGTACTCTTTTTCAAATATCCTTTAGTGATTTCTGCAAAATATCTTCGAAAATAAACTCAACACTAAAAGGGTTAACTAGACCTCGAGGGGCCAACGTGACGATTTTCTAACGAAGCTGACATTCTCGTGAGGCTAACAGTAATTTAACTTATAAATGGACTCTTTTTTTATATATATTTTTGTGCAATAAACTTTTATGTCGTTAGCTAAATTACATTAAATCTCTAGCCAGTTATAATAAAAAAAAATGCAAAATTAATATTGTATACGAATAAATTATATTATACAAATTATTAATTAAGTATTTTAGCCACCAAGACCATTTTAGATCGCACAAATGGTGGCAGACGAGCTTGAGGCTCAACTGTGTGTAAGTGAACACCGTATGTCGTGGTACAAATAGATCGATGCCTCTTTCGAGTTGTCTATGTTTGTCAATGCTTTATGCGTATCGATATTGATATGACTTACCGATATAACTGAGCATAACCGGCAGGAATACGAGTCCGTGGGCCGCACCGAACAGCACAATCCCGAGGTACATCCGGAAGTAGAACACCTGTAACGATAATGATCAATTGCCAAAACCATTTATATTTATTACACACAAAAAAGTTTGTTAATTACAAAGTATAGGAATTTCAATATCTTTGTACAACTACAGGGATTTTTTTCCAATCAAATAATAATATTTGGTATCAAGGTACACTGAGTCACTAAGGACATAGCCTTCTCGTCCGGTGAATCTAGTATGACCACTCGAGGTCACTAGAATGAGTAAAAAAGGACATAGCCATATAAATATATCAAAACCAAGAATATTAAATCAGAACTGGCTGTGCACTGTTATATCCTTTCGCAATACTGTTAATGTGCTGAACAAGCAGTACAAACATCTCCATAAATCTACCTTCGGTTCTCTTTTACTTTGCTTTTTCTTTTAAGGATAAATCTCCGTCTAAAAGGGGGAGGTGTTATATCCTTTTGCAATACTGTTTCTGTGCTGAAGAAGCAGCACGTGTAAATAGTATACGAAAGGATATATAATAATAGCACGCAACTTCGCTCGCAACAATTTGCAATTTTATTTTAAAACCTAAAAGCCATAAGACTATTCAAACAGCTAACTACGAAAAGTAATTTAAGGTTTACACATGCATACACACACAAACATTCTTTTTTATGTATCACATGTATCAAGGTGAGTAATTATTTAAGCAATTAGAGATGAAACGGATAGTGGTTTAGCCGGATACCGGGATACCGAATATTCGGCCCTTTCGGAAATATTCGTGCGCGTTCGGGTATTGTCGTACGTAACGGAGATCGCGACTACGATTTGGTATTCATTCACCACAATTTGCCACTTGTTAATTTTGAGTATTAAACAAACTAATTAATCAAACAATTAATTTCGACGTGCGATTATAAAAATAAAAATTGTCCATAACCCATTGTGATATTATTTGCCTTTTGTATAACCATGAGATTTTCTTAAATTTTACTATCCGAAATCCGACTGGATACTGATACACTATCTGGTATCCGGCAGGATAGTGAAAACATGGCCGGATACCGGATAGTTACCGGATATCCGTTTCATCTCTATAAGCAATACGGGGATTCTCTTGATTCTATCGATTATTTTTAGAGACGGCAAATCGAGAGGCGCGACCTGGAAGATCTGGCTCTTGGCCGTGGCGAGCACGATGATGCCGCCGAACTTGGTGAGCGTGATGCCGGACAGCACGGACGAGCCCATGCGCAGCAGCGCGTCCGCCGCGCGCTCCCCGCGCCCGCGCCCCGCCGACACGCTGAACGAGTGCACCAGGTGCGAGCAGAACTCCACCGATATGCCCACCGCCATCACCTGCACCCACATGGATAACTACATCTTCTACTGGTGGTAGGACCTCTTGTGAGTCTGCACGGGTAAGTACCACCACCCTGCCTATTTCTGCCGTGAAGCAGTAATGCGTTTCGGTTTGAAGGGTGAGGCAGCCGTTGTAACTATACTTGAGACCTTAGAACTTATATCTCAAGGTGGGTAGCGCATTTACGTTGTAGATGTCTATGGGCTCCAGTAACTCATCTAAGCAATAATAAAAATTTAAAAAAGTGTTTTTTTATTATTATTATTTTACTGTCCATGTATGCAATCAAGCAAGTCCACTTGATGGTGAGTGGTTACCATCGCCTAGGACTTCAGCAATGTCAGGAATAGAGCCAAACCGCTGTCTACCGTAGTCAAGCCATTGCCTAATAGTGCGACAATGTTAAGGAATACAAATCTTACCAAATTTACAAGCGAGACTGCATTCAAACTGATGCCCCACCAGTACATGAGGCCGCCGAGATTAACAACAATCATAGTGATGGTCACTACGACTACCTGGCAACAGAATATAAACATCTATAAGTATGTACACAGATATATTGCCGTCAAAATTAGCAAATACCTTATTTAGACTTTAATAACATTTTTACAATATTTTTAATTTCCATTATGTAACAATAACTACATCTGAGTCGACTATTATCAAAGCCGGCAATCTGACTTTTGGACAATGATTGGTAAATCAGAAAAACGAATTATTGACTTTGTATTCCATTGGCAGTCACAAAACTCTTCGGAACGACATCTTAGATAAATAACAGGTTAACTATTAACCTTTATTTAATGCAAGTTTTGAACCGTATTCTTTGAAGGAGACGATTATATTCAAATCAATCTGAATTGACATATCAACAAAAAAAAATTGTCCAAATGCACAGATTGCCACCTTTGATAATAGACGACTCATCTATACTAATATATAAATCTAGTGGTTTTTACGGATGTTCCGTTATAACTACTGAACTGTGCATCCGATTGACTTGAAACTTGGTATCCATGTAGAAAGTACATGTGCTTAATGGATAGGCTAATATTTATATGAGTGTTGGACTTCTTAATAATAATGACAATAAATAATAATGTTAAATTTAAATGCCCAGCGAAGCGGACGGGTACAGCTAGTACTTCATAAATTCTATAGACTTGTTTAAATTAACCGTATTGACAAGGGCCACACTCCGTATAGTAAACTCACAAGAGCGGAGAAGAGATCGAAGCCCATGAGCACGAAGGTGACGAAGAATATGGAGAGCACGGAGATGCCCATGCTCTTGAGGGTGTCGGACCACATGGTGAGGTACTGCTCGTAGAAGACGTAGAAGACGGAGTAGGGGAAGACGTTGACGGTGGCGGAGTGTCCCAGGTCGCGGAGGTGCGCGTTGAGCGTCTCCGTGAGCGAGCCCGCCAGCGCGCGCGCCGCCCGCAGGCTGCCGTAGTAGTCCGAGCTGCTGCGCAGGACCGTGTGGTAGCTCTGCGGGACACGACACGACACACTTACTATCTAACGTACTTCTTGTCATTTATGCTTGTTTTATAATCTTAATTCTCAATGTTAGATAAAGCGCAATCTATTAAGCTTATATGTAGGATACCTGTCTTGGCTTCTCTTGCTTTTTCTTCGTTACACCGCTAACACGTAACAAATATGCTTGCTATTACTACTGGCCTTATTTATTAATAATACACCACGTCAATATTATTGTTTACTGTGTCGATCATTCATCGCAATCAACATACAAAATAACAATTCACAAACATTCACAGATTGAATTAATTCACACGCACAATGTAGGCGTGGGTAAGAGCTAAGCCGGTGAGGTACCTGGTAGTAGGTGGCGCCGATGCCGGTGGTGTTCTGGCTGTGCGAGCGCAGGTTGACGGCGTGCGAGTAGGCCGCGTGGCCTCCCTTGACGCAGCGGCTCGACGGGTTGTCCTGCAGGAAGTACGGCAGGTACGTGCTGAAGTCCTGCGGGCTGGGCCGCTCTTCCGGCTGCACCAACTTTATGTTGCAAGCGGCACAATCGTCGGCTGCAATCGTAATGCACACGATATTATAACGACCACAGTGTAACGGGTACGTCGCTCAACCCTCACAGTTAATGCGAGTATATCGTCGTTGTCAAACCAAAATCTGCTATGTGCACTTTTTGAGATTTTTACTGTTTGACCTTGTCTTATAGCAATGCCAGGGGCAGAGCCAAGCGGCTGCCTACCGCTTAATACTCTCCACAAGCCTCGTTTGAAGAAGGACATGTCATAGCGCTCGGGAAACACCGTGGAGGGGAGCTCATTCCATAGCCGGATGGTACGTGGCAAAAAAGATCTATGATGTTTTATCTATTTTATGATTGAAGGAGTACTGGTGGCTTGGAAACCTTTCCAGTGTCACCAGGACAAGTGGGCGAGCAAAGGCTCAGCCAGGAGGGGTGGGATTTGCTAACAGCTGCCCGAGCGCCTCCGAAGGAGACCTAACAGCTCAAGAGCAGCTGCTTTGCGAATGAATCTACTACCGGATCGAAATCGCGACCCTCTGAGAAGATCCGGCGAGAAACTCAGCGGGCTGTTTCATGGGTTAGGTTGCTTCTTATAGTTCACAGCCCTTTCTATTGTATAAAAAAACTGTTATGCGTCTATAGCTTTAACATTCATCTATAGCTTTCATTTGATTATAGTTCTTAAAAAATTACCTTCATATAAAATTTTATAAAAATTGTTTTTACACGTTAATTCAAAATAGAATTTTTTCACATAGCAGATTTTGGTTTGACAGCGACGATATGCATTTATTACTGCCACTAACTGGTCATGTATTTCGGTATGAAAGATGGGACAGACGTAACAAAGCAATACGTGACCTCATATATCTACCTGTTTGGGCTTCGGTAACCACTTGGCAGCAAGAAACCTGTACACATATCGTCTTTTTGCATTAAAAGTGTACAATTTCTAAAAATAATCGAAATTGAGTTAATATGTGGAATCATTTGGTATCACCAGTATTTTTAGATTACCTATATTTTGACTACTATTAACAAAATGAATACATAATTTTATTTTATTTTAAAAGACAGATAATATAACTGGTAAAAAAAATACATATATATATATATATATATATATGTTGAAAGATGATTTAGTAATATTAAAAATATCACACGTTAAACCTTTAAAACACTCTTCTGTAAGATTAGTAAGTTTTGAGATTAAACAGTTTTAATGCGAGAAGACGATGTGTAGTGCAAACAAAACTAATATAGGAAAAATAACATAGGATATAATATAATAACAAAAATAATATAGGAAAACGACTCACGTTGAGTGTCGCTGGGACAGAAGCTGTTGTTGGACTGGAAGTAGAAGCAGCACTCCGGTGAGACAGACCAGTCGAAGAAGTCGTCGAGCCAGGAGTTGGCTGGAGCCGCGATGTACGTGTCGGCCGGGCTGCGGGACGCTGCAGTCAAACAAAATAATTTGCATATTGACGTCAACATTCAAGGGCGTTACATGATTTCTACGACAATCGCGTGCGCAAAGGGAATGTAGTGTCACTTTTTAATAACCAATAAAAAAAAATTATAACAATTTCACACGGCTTTATTGTTGTTATAAATACTTAAATTACGCAATATAATGTTATCTTCCCAATTGTTAGAAATAGCCTGTTGTGAACGCCTACGAAATTTTACTGAGCAATATTGAAATTTTAATTATGTTCACCGACACTATTTTTAAAACACTTCAATTAATGGCCGCGCCAACCTAACTTGTTAGCAACGTACAAAATTAACAAAAACCTGTATAAAGAAAATACAAGCACAAAATCGATTGTGGAAGTTTCATTGAAGAAACCCAAGCATCCAACACCTGTATATTGTATATTTAGCTTGTTCGGTTTGTTTTAAAAAGTTGTCGCCGTATGAATATAAACATCCACAGGAATGTCAAACCTTAGTCTAAGATTGGAACTAAAGACTTTGGGTTTGCAAATGTTGTCGTGGTTCATTTATCCAGATAAACCTGTATGTTTAGACGGTACGTGATTTTATCCCATATTAGAGTTAAGAGGCTGTGCAAAATATTGGTCGATAATTCGACCTCTGGGACCTTTTTTTCATAGCTGTACTCCTTCATTCTCAAACTCCATGGGCGTGGTCTATGATCAGATTTATAAACACACATTGTTTAACGACATAGAGGATCTAGCTACAAATAAACTTCGCTCTGATGATGTACGGCGCCGGAACCGATGGATCATTTCAAACTTCAATAATAATAAAAAAAAATATTTTTTTTTTTTTTTTTATTGCCCTTGTAGACAGACGTGCATACAGCCCGCCTGATGGTGAGTGGTTACCGTCGCCCATGGACTTCAGCAATGAGAGGGGCAGAGCCAAGCCGCTGCCTACCGCACATCTATTTTCTATCCAAAAAAAATTTACAAACCAGCATATATCTGCATGGCGAGACTGTCGGGTCTACAGAACCTCGAGCCGCACAGCAGGTTCTGCACGTCGGGGGTGGAGTAGTTCAGCTTGGCGTCCGTCTCGGCGTCCGTGAGCACAAAGTAGACCGGCGGACCGATGTTCAGATAGCGGTTCAGATGCTGGAAGTACTTCAACTGGAAACTGTCGTGGGGCATAGACAGCTCTTGGTCTAGTCCGATGTCGATGTGAGGCGCTACCTGTAATTTCAATCGGACAGTTTTTTATTAAAAAAGTTTTTTTTTATCGCTTAGTTAGGTGAATGAGCTCACAGCCCACCTGGTGTTAAGTGGTTACTGGAGCCCATATACATGTACGACGTAAATGCGCCACCCACCTTGAGATATAAGTTCTAAGTTCTCAAGTATAGTTACAACGGCTACCCCACTCTTCAAACCGAAACGCATTACTGCTTCACAGCAGAAATCAGCAGGGCGGTGGTACCTACCCGTGCGGACTCACAAGAGGTCCTACCACCAGTAAATACATATTGTACCTTCAAGTAATCAATGTGAAATTACCAAACGATCCTAACATTTTACAAGATATTCTAACCTGTAAATAAGTGATGGAAGCAGTTACTTACAGCAACAGACGAGCAGAGCCAAGCAAAGAATATAATCATGACTGAGGCTCTGACTTCCCTCTTCATCAGGAAAGGTACATAGAAATGTTGAAACAGGTTGTACAATGCTCCTTCACCTTGTTCTGCCAGGTCTGTTTTGGTGCCCCGCAGACAGCAGAATATATCGAACCTGGTATACAAAAATAGTTGTAAATCAGTTTCCTACTGTTTAGCACTTATATTTCTCGACCTCAATACATCGCTTTCATTGAAGAGATCGCAAGGGGCATAATTGATACCTCCTATCATGTTATGTGAAATTTGAAATCGTAAGCATTAACTGCTGAAAAATTATACGTAATGGAAATATTTTAAAGCTAAATATTAAATTGTGATGAATTTGAACCTTAAAGTCGTGAAGGCCCAAAAGACAAGGCGCAGTCGTATCGAATAATGCGTCTGTACGGGTGTGGGTTGTGTTCGAACCAGGTACCAATTTTTCTAATGAAATCGTACTTAACACGTGTTCGCGAATGAAGTCATGGCAACGGGCAACAAAATCTAAACCCGCAAAAATCCTAATTTGCGTAATGATCGGTGGTAGGGCGCCTCAGCCCGCCTCAGCTTCCTATTTCTGCCGCGATGTAGCCACTCCTGGTCGGAAGGCACGAACGTTATGCTGTACAACTGAGACTGAGGTGGCGGCGGCACTCACGTCTGATGTCTATCTAACTATTTTCATTTATACTTCATTATTTAGGCAAGTCAAGTTTTCGTACACCCACCCATTAAAAAAATTCAAAGAAAAAAAATATGATCAATCAATCCATTATCGGTGATGTCGGTGCAGAGGCTTAGCGGGACATGTAATTACGTGTAAATTCCGGCCACGGTTTGCTGTGGCTATCGCTAAGTACAATGTTTACAGAGGTACAAAGTTCCAACTCGATTAGATAAGGGTTATAACCTTTAGACATGAATATTTAAAAAAAAAATAATATTAAAAAAAAAAGACATGCCCGCTGAATTTCTTGCCAGTTCTTCTCAGGACGGAGGCTAATTTTTGTGAACTGGCGGTAGTTCTTTTTGACGTTCAACAAGTATGTGCTTTCATGTATGTTGAATAAAAAAATTTTTTGTTTTATTGCTTAGATGGGTGGACGAGCTCACAGCCCACCTGGTGTTAAGTGGTTACTGGAACCCATAGACATCTACAACGTAAATGCACCACCCACCTTGAGATATAAGTTCTAAGATCTCAGTATAGTTACAACGGCTGCCCCGCCCTTCAAACCGAAACGCATTACTGCTTCACAGCAGAAATAGGCCGGGCGGTAGTACCTATCTGCGCGGACTCGCAAGAGGTCCTACAACCAGTATAGTTTTTGGTTTGATTTGTTCGTACGAAGTCACAGGAGCACAGTTGTTGAGAGCCTGACCTGTTGTCGAGTTGTCGGCGCGTGTCGAGCGCCAGCAGCGCCACGAAGCAGGTGACCTGCAGCAGGAAGTCCACGAGCAGCGCCACGGCGGCGTACAGCGCGAAGGCGCGCACGGCCGGCATGTCGCTCAGCGCCCCCAGGAAGAAGCACACCGACTCCGACACCGACGTCACGAACATCGACGGGCCCACCTTGCCGAGCCTGCAACGCGCGCACCGCAACCTCACATTACTATTGCTCCTACCCACCTTTGAAACGATGGATAAATGTAATGTTGTTTTAGTATATGCAAAGTAAAAAAAAAACATGTGTACCAATTCAGACGTGGTAGAAGTGAAACCTTCAAAAATTGAAATACAATTATCCTAAATGTCTAAGTATCTGTAAAATGTTGATAATTGTAAATTCCCTCTTTATAGTATGAGGTAGCGCCCTCTGTGAATTGATATTTTAACTTCACGTATAATGTGTGTTCTATCTCATTCTCTCGCCGGCTGAATCCTGTACATTTATGTGTTTGTGTCTCTATGGACTTATTTTTTCGTTTGATCGAGTTTGAAATCACAACGATTCTAAAGAAGTTCCACTTCAATTAGTGCCGACGTACATTCTACCGATGTGTTGCTCGACGGTCTCGTCGGGGCGGCGCGGCTCGCGCTGGTGGGTCTGCACCAGGATGAAAATGTTGTCGACGCCGACGGCCAGTACCAGGAACGGGATGACCTCCACGATGATGAGCGTGGCCGCCACTCCATAGAACCCGAAGATGCCCATGGAGCACACCACAGACGCCAATACGATTACCACACCTGCAAATCAAAACGGATTTCAATTTTTATGCATACTTTTACGCAACACACCTGTACGTGGATGTAATGCGTTAGATCAGATCCCGTTATGACTTGAATATAAGCGGCATACGGAGGTACCGAGTTAACTTTAAACAGAAAATATACGCGTGTGAAAAGTTCTTGTTTATTTATCTTTAAGGTTAAGACAGTTAAAAGATATTCAAGATTATTTTTTACGATTATATGTAAATTTTAGTTTAGTATCTTTATAGTAATAGATGATTCATTCGAGAATTACACATTGAGTCGTGAAACTCGTACCAACAAGATTGACTTCTATTTTTTTTTGAATGATGTTTTCATGACATAATATAATATATGAACTACTTTACAGATTATTTCTTGCAAAATAATAAAAGTGTTAAAAGCTATTATGTCACCACATGTACAGGGTAAATAAATATTTTTAAGATATAAATTTTCCGTTAACATCATCAAACTTTTCGAAATAAGGTCCCATCACATACGAAAATATTACAAAACGGAACACGCATCTGATGGTGTTCTTTATAATTTATTTTAAAGTAAAATCCATAATGTATTGTGTGGACTAATAAATTGATTCAAGCCGAAACGCATTACTGCTTCACGGCAGAAATAGGCGGGGTGGTGGTACCTACCCGTGCGGTCTTACCACCAGTAATTACAACTTTGCGGGTTTGATTTTTATTACACGCGAGTTTGATAGATTTGCAGATGCAGTTCGTTGGAGGACTGACCGCCGAGCCCGAGCGTGATCTTGCTGTCGATGAGCAGCCGCGAGAAGGTGGTGAAGCGGCCGAGCGCGATGGCGATGTACGCGAACATGATGAAGTAGGACACGAGGATGGTGTACACGTCCGACTTGGACTCGCGGTCCAGCTCGTCCTCGATGGAGCGCTCCGACGTGTACGCGATGTCCATGTAGCCCGGCATCGCCTTCTCCGTGTAGTTCTTCATGAACGCAATGAACGTCTTCTCCCACTCGAGTGCTTGTTTCAGCTGTGGACAAATAAAGTGTCGTCAACTAACGTCGGCCCGGCTGTTCTCTTCGTGACGAGACAAAGATTTAATGCATCGTGCATCGTCGTATGTTATCTTATTTTTTTATGTATTGAAAAAACTCTGTCATGTCTATGGTTCTAATTTCTGAACATTTTGAATTAGTTTTCTTTGATTGACATGTTTTTGTCGCGAAGCAGTAAAGTTTTGCGATTTGTAGGGTGAGCAGCCATTGTACCGTTGAGAGCTCAGCCTCATGTCTTCAGGTGGTGACGCAACTACTTGGTTACGTCTACTGGCTCCATTAACCACTAAACTCAAGTGGGCAGTGAGCTTGACTACAGGCCTGTGCAATAGATAGTAACAGAGAATGTGTTTTCTATAGGCTCTATATGGCTCATGGAACACCTCATCTGTCCATGAATACAGCAGTGCAAAATGGAAATATGTTGTAAATTAAGTCTCTTATAACTATAAATTATATATTATAATTATAAAAATCTTAATTTATTCATTATGAAAAAATGCCAATCGCACCGTTCTATGCAACCCAATAATGTGACAGCAGTGGTACCTGGGACTTGTCCTGCTTGTTGTTGACGAGGAAGGTGAGGATGAGTGCCTGCGCGCGGTGGTAGGGCGCGTGGGCAGAGAGCTGGTCGCCGCGCGGCAGGAAGCCGCCCAGCGCCACGCCGGGCAGGACGGGCCCGCCGTACGACGACAGGCAGTCCACCGAGATCGGGTTGCTGCCGATGGAAGATTCAACTCCTTACTACTTTATTACAGAATTAAAACTACACTTACGGTTTAATCTCCCGTTTTTAGTTGTCGTTATATTCTTTCCGACGCTTTGAGTAAATTAAACGTCTAAATATTAAAAAAAATATAGAAAAATAGAAGGTAGTTAGCTCAACATTCAAATGTCGGGAAATAACAGTAGAATGATAATTTAAAAAAGGCAACACGCAGTCTGAACTCGCTAGCTCATATCATAATGACCGCGCGGCTTCTTGACGGGAACGCGAGGAGTGAAGTTGTGTGATTTGTTTTATTTTGTCTATTTAGTGTTTCTTCAGGTTTCAATATGTAATAACGGTGGTTTATTAACTATTTAATATCTGTGAAAGTGCACAAATGTTGGAAAATAAAACAAAGCCACTGGATGTAACATCTCGGGATCCTCCAAAAAGTCCACTGAAAAAATCTCAGTATATGACCACCATTTTACTGAGATTATATTTCATCCCAGTTGATTAGTGTCTCAAATTATGCACCTTCGTTTCATTTCATTTCACTCCATATAATTTTTCATAAAAATCAGAATATAAATTAAAATAAGACACGACTTAAAGGTCTTAGTTACCAGGTCATAAAATCCCTTAAAAAAAATCAGGCGCGGTTCGTCGACAACCGATTAACTCTCGAGACAAGCAAATGAATAAAGAGTGCGCAACGAGCTTCACCTGGAGCACTGCAGGATCTTGTCCAGGTGTTCGTTGTCCTCGTAGGAGAACTCGGACTTGTCGTTCTGCCACCAGCCCCACACGCTCTGCAGCACGCAGTCCTTGCTGGTGACGGGGCCGCGGAAGGGCGACGACAGCGGCGCGTAGCAGATGTTCTGGATCCCGGACTCGTTGCCGAGCTCTGCGGGGCGACACATACAATGCATTACCGCAATGCTACCGGCAGTTAACGGCACGTTCGGCACTAGTGAGTTCATTTTTTCCCTACATATGCTGATAGCCTTGAGAGACTATTTCAGCTTAGCCCTAACGTGTAGGTGAGCTCACGCGGCTCAAACCGGAGTGTTGCTAACACTGGCCCTAGCAAGAGCAGTGCTTCGCAGAATCTACCACCGGATCGGAAACTCAGTGGGCTGTGTCTAGGGGTTAATTCGCTCGTCGAACCCTTCGTCGCAAGCGATGGGTTCGACGAGGACGGCGACCGGTGCTTGTGATACCTAAAAGCACCGTTAATTGAGAGGGGGAGGGGGAACAGTTTCAGTGTATGACAAATGAACGTACTGGGAGTATTGATTGGAACTTACCTAAGATCTTGGACTGCAGGTCGAACACGTCCAGCATGAAGGTGGCGTTGAACACCGGCCCGAACGTCAGGTTCGCGTGTTCGATCTCGGGCAGACCTTTCGAGCTGATTATTAACATTTCTGTCCTGTGGAAAATAATACAAACGTTTCTTTCCAAATTCAATTCTCACCGCAAATATTTATTCATAGTAAATAGAAATTTATAAACTAATTCAGAAAGAAGTAATTTAGAATAACGAGAGCGGGTTTGTGGTTTGTGACGTCATCGCCGTGCGTAGTACCTGTAGAAAGGTTCGAAGTAGGAATCGAACCGCTGCCTCTCGACCCTGGAGCGCGAGGTGGGCGAGGCCCACAGCTCCACGGGGTCGGTGGTCACCTGCATGTACGTGATGCCGGAGCCGAGGATCACCACAACGCACAAACCTGAAACAAACATGTATTTAGTACATACGCATTTTGTTACACGACCATTTGTATAGCTGTGTGCGTGTGTGTGTGTGAGCTTGCCCGGGCCGTCGCCGGGACTCATACGGCTAGGTACCCGTATAGGTATTTGAGAGTAGTGTGGGCTGATGAGATGATGAGAGATAAGAGACCGAGATGATTACTACTGACCGATAATGGAGGAGTAACTCATCGACGGCCTATCTGCATATTAAGATTACTAATATGGTTTCTAAATGTTTGCGCGCTTCTGGTGTAAGCATCACTACCATTGTTGAGGTTGTTTTTAAATAAAGGAGACCAGTAGTGCTCTAGACAAATGTATTTACGGAAAGGAAAGAAGGGAGCCATGACAGACACATTTAAATAAAAAACCATAGATTACTATAAATCAGCATTATAAAATTAGATGCAACCATAGATTACAACACGCCTCCTTAAATTTATAATGCTGATTCCTCACGTCTACAANTTTTTTTAAACAACCACGAGTTCTTTTTTAACAACCACGCTCTGCTACCATGTTGAGGTTGTTTTTAAATAAAGGAGACCAGTAGTGCTCTAGACAAATGTATTTACGGAAAGGAAAGAAGGGAGCCATGACAGACACATTTAAATAAAAAACCATAGATTACTATAAATCAGCATTATAAAATTAGATGCAACCATAGATTACAACAACCATCATATGAAAATATACTTTTATAAGATTGTATGCAAAAAATGAATGTGTTTTATTAATGACTGACCAGAGAAGAGGACCAGCCAAGGCGAGGAGGCCATGACGCAGCCCCACCACTGGAAGAAGTCTTCAATTTTGGATTCCGTCGCAGCACCGAGCTTCTCGAGGAACGTCGCGTCTGTCTCGTCGCCATCGGTGGCCTCCATGGTCCAGCGCGTGCCCGACGCGTTTGTTCCCATCTCTTGATTGTTGTCTGAAGACACACCTGCCGTGTTCAACAAACAATTTAGTTCGATTAAAAATAAGTACAGTCGAAGAAAACACAATCGAATTTCTATATTATGCTTGTTGAATTAAACAATTTCTTATATCAGGGCCATAAGTTTTGCAAAGAAAACTTGATTGGACGACTGTTCTAATTTACTACCGTCAAAAGCGTATAAACACATGAAGCAAAAAAAAGTTAGTAGTATTAGTGTAAATCAAAATAATAAATATAAAAAAATCATTTAAAGATGTATATATATTAAAACGTATAACAGGTCGTACGTTCAGTGAAGTAGACAGTCTGACAACAGTCAAAGGAGGGAGCTGAATAAAAAAAAAATAGTTTCCTATGAAAATCTAAAATGAAGGACAATATTACACATAATTATATACAGAACTTGCAAGTTTTACTAATAAGCTCAAATCTAAAACATGCGATCCCTCGACCGATTTAAAAATGAATGAATGCATTTGTACTTGATATGTTGTTACTGTTATCTAAAAATATCCATTAAAACATTAACATGCTTCCAAAGTGATCGTTGTAAATATACAGCGACCCTTTATCAATGGGATACCGCTTTTGTTTTCACTAGTACTACCCGTCGGAAATATCTGCGAACCTGGCTTAATGACGTCATGCAAACTAGGGAGACAGCAAAAACAATTCAATATGTTGGAAAAAATACCAGATGTAAAATTTCAAAATATTTTATTTATGTGTATGTAATTTTTTACACTCTTTTAAACAACTTTTACATCAATATCTACTGTCCAATCGGCAAAATGAAAGAACCGTGTTTTTTTATTATTTTCAAAGAATTCAATTACTTTGAGCACTACGTTCCGCACTGCACTATATACGGTTCTATCCATCTTACAATAAAATACTAAGTAAATACTAAAAATGTATTAATATTTCACTGAAGAGAGAAACAATAAGCAAGAATGAGATTCAAAAAAAAAAAACTTATGTCAGCGCTTGCGTTGGCAACGGTACCAGTAAGGCGAGGGCGGGGCGATGCGTGGGGAAGCGAGAGGCGAAGCGCATTCCAACCGGGTGCGCATATATTTCCGACGGGTTGTACACGATATCGTGGCGGGCGTGGCGGGCACGTGTGTGCGTGCGTGAGTGCGTGTGCGCCTTACCGTGCGTATGCAGTAGGGGCGGGTACGTACTGGCGCGGCGCTCGTGCAGCGGGCTCGTCTCGGGGCCGCACTCTGTCCAACACCATTGTTACTACCACCGGCACCTTATCCACCTCGCTCAATTCAGTTCACCAATACGATCAGTTCATAGAATTATAAAACAGTTTTCTAAGGTGGATAAGGTACGTTTATGCGGTATGTTAGCTTTTATCTACATTTGAATTCAACCTTCACCTTTCAATGAAAATTCAACGGAAATTAGCGTTTGTATTATTAGGTTTGTAAGTCTAATGAAAGATGAAAATTTAAAAAAATAATCTAGTGTAGCATTACAGAGCCTAATGTCGAATGCACTTAAACTATTTGGTGGCCCACTCGTACGCTACTTGACATAGGGATCATAATTCAAAAATATTAACACTGCAAACACACTGTGTGCTGCACCATTTCAATGGCTCTTAACCCTTTGAGTGCGAACCGTCAATATATCGACTCTCTATCGATGCGTATAATGTGGGGAGCGTTGGAATATCGACTATTTGCGCAGTTCGATTATGGGTATTAGATATCGACCTGTACCAAATGTGTTTTAACGCACACACGTATAACGTTTTTAATAAGTTAATAACATTTATAAATAACCATTTAAAATTATTTTACATTTAGTATTGATTTTTATATTTTTTTAAGTAAAAATTTTTCGACAATACTTTTTTTCAAAAATTCTTTTGCAATTTCTGCAAAATATGTGAAAACAAGCTCAGCACTAAAATGATTAATATGAAAACCTGGCAAGCGCTATATAATAAAAAATAAAAATAAATTAAGCCTCTTTTAACTATACAGTGTTAGAGGACCGTTCAGTGCGCCGGTCGTGCTTCGACTGACAAGATCAAACATGGCGGCTTTCGACATGTTTATTTTGTTAATTGTCACTTAGCCAAGCATTGTACTATGAAGACCAATTTATCGTAATCTTTTTGAATGACCCTGATTGCACATACATGATATATTATAAAGCTAATATTAAAAGGGAGTCTACTCCTTCACCTTATTACACATGAGAATAAGGAAATAATGAATTATAGGTATGTATTAAAAAACTTTAATTCTAAATGCATGGTTTGGATGCGATAAATACATGATTCCACTAAATAGTAATATGGTAATATATTCCAAACACCATATAATAATAATTAACAATAAAATTGCCAATCGAAATTCAACTTTAATTACGAAAGGTAGAGAGTACTCACCTACGAGGTTTTCGGTTTGATTGCAACAGAAGACACCCGTGAGGAACAGCGTCGAGAAGATACAGAAGACGATGGTCATGACGATTGCGTAGCCGTCGAAACCCGCGATGGAGAAGGGCTGCGGGGGCGGGGGGCGCGGCGGGGGCGCGGGGCACGACGCCTCGCAGTCCAGGCACGAGCAGCCCGGCATGCCCTGGGAGAACACAACGGCTTACAGACACGGACCAACTACCCTCTCACCATATCCAAGCGATCGTTCATAAATTAGTATTGCAAATACCTTGATCCGTGAAAGTATATATAGCCTATTTTTAGACATCTTCCAGTAAAATTAAGAAAAACAATTTGCTGATATTATTATGACTAAATCACAACCAACAAGCCAAAACTATAAAACGCTTAAAATAGCGGTATATTGAGAGGCATAAAGCAAAACGGGCTTTACCAAATATCGCAAGTGGTTTATTGTACAACAATTGCATAATTCTGTGATGACAAATTACGTCGATTTCGATAATAATGTTACGCCGGAAAAAGTAACGCCATCTGTCATCAAATAGCAAAAACGAACATCAAAAGAACTAGTAATGCCGAGAACGTTCGAGAAGTGTAACGCCATCTATTATGAAATAGCGGAAATACATATCGAAACGTCTAGTACTACCGGAAGTGTTCTCGATAATAGTAGACATGTGGTGTTGCCTATAAAAGCGTTGCAAATATGACATGAAGGCAGTTAGTAATCGGATCTACTCGAAGCGAATCAGCAAACGTTTTTTTTCGCTGATTTGTTTTAGACTAAAGCTTTCTTTAAGTGTTCTGAGTATTAAATAGAGTTTTAATTTGTATTTCGGTGAAAGTTTTATTTATCTCGAACCCGAGCGCGTAACAATAATAATGATAATAAAGTATTATAGATTAATCCGGCAGCCGGTAGGCAGCGGCTTGGCCCGGTAGGCAGCGGCTTGGCTCTGCCCCTGGCATTGCTGAAGTCCATGGCCGACGGTAACCACTCACCATCAGGTGGGCCGTATGCTCGTCTGCCTACAAGGGCAATAAAAAAATAAATAATAATAATCGTTTTGGCTACGTTTAGAAATTGCAGTAATCACCTTCGTTCCGACATTGCAGGGCTCGGCTATCGGAGCGTAGGGCGTGTACCCATCGACGGGCACGTCAGTGGCCTTATAGTTAATCTGGAAGGGCACTTGATAGTTGGAAGCGTCCCCCATGTTATCGAACCAACGTTGCGCCGAGCACGCGTCTCCCCACTGACCGCACATCACCTTTATGGATCGCTCGTTTGTTGACGTAAGCTTAACCTAAAATTATAAAGGAAAAAATACACTACAGCTTCACCTCCACATTTTTAAGTTTCCGTTAGGTCGGTTTATCTAATTATAGCGTCTTTAGAAATACGCTTGAGTTACCATTGTCATCCCAATCCGCCTTGAATACAGGATAAGAGTACTTTTTACTGGTGGTAGGAACTATTGTGAGTCCGCGCGGGTAGGTACCACTGCCCTGTCTATTTCTGCCGTGAAGCAGTAATGCGTTTCGGTTTGGAGGGTGGGGCAGCCGTTGTAACTATACTTGAGACTTTAGAACTTATCTCAAGGTGGGTGGCGCATTTACGTTGTAAATGTCTATAGGCTCCAGTAACCACTTAGCACCAGGTGGGCTGTGAGCTCGTCTAGCCATCTAAGCAATAAAAAATAAAAAAATAAAAACTTCACAGTTTCAAAGATAACATTTGCTTCGTCCATAGGAAACAAGATATGTGGTTTCCTGCCCTTTCAACAGATTACGTGCTTATTTTGTGGCAAAAGGCAGGCAGGGCTATGGCAGTAACTCCTCAAATGCGACGACTTATAAATAAGATATTTCAATACTTTTTTAAAAGTTCTTTAAGGAATCTGAAGTCTTTCAAACCGAACTAAAAAAAATACTAAGAATTTCTTCTTCCTGATCAAGTAGCAAAAAGATTGTATAGCCATCAGTCTTTGATACTTGAACTCTTGTGCGTTGACAGTTTGCCTTATACCCAATGACTTCTTCATTTCACTGAAGAGAGTTATAGAATAGAATTCCAAAACTGTCAAAGGTCCACTTTGGAAATGTATTGAATAAATTTTGTACTTACCTCAGAGCATGAGTTGTAGATGCCATCCATGAAAGTTTTACTCAGGTAGTAATCGATCTCCGATATCCTGCGATGTGTACCTTGAAATGAATAAAAACAATTTTATAGATATTATCCAAACAGAACCTGAAATAAAGACAAGTTGAAAAATTTGGAAAAACATTATTTATCAATCAGAACTCTATAAATTGTCTTAAAGTACATTTTCAAAGTTATATCTTCTCGTTGAACATGTGGATTCATTAATGCCTTCAGCTTGGATATTACTGGTGGTAGGACCTCTTGTGAGTCCACGCGGGTGGGTACACCACCCTGCCTATTTCTGCCGTGAAGCAGTAATGCGTTTCAGTTTGAAGGGTGGGGGCAGCCGTTGTAACTATACTTGAGACCTGAGAACTTATATCTCAAGGTGGGTGGTAAATTTATGGATATCTATGGGCTCCAGTAACCACTTAACACCAGATGGGCTGTGATATAGTTCACCCATCAAAGTAATAAAAAAAAATCTGGAAACGTGCGCTTACCAAATTCAATTACATAATTTGTGATCAGAACAAACAAAAACGCTACTCACCGTTGAACTGTTCTGTTTGAACTGGCTTCAAGTATTTGCTCTGATCGACGGCGCAGGCCATTCCACAGATCGGCTTCAAAAAGTTCTGAAAGCACGTCGGGCATCTCCCCAGCAAATTTTCCGCAAGGGCGATATTCACTTTGAGCTGGTTCAGTTGTTCGTAATTGCAGCACGAATAACCTCCTTTGGCTATCTCGGGACAATATTGCTCAATTATTTTCTGTAAGGAAACATTAATTTTTTTTTAATTATATTTATTCTAGACATAGAATAGACAATTCTAGACATTTACTGGTGATAGGACCTCTTGTGAGTCCGCGCGGGTAGGTACCATCACCGTGTCTATTTCTGTCGTGAAGCAGTAATGCGTTTCGGTTTGAAGGGTGGGGCAGCCGTTGTAACTATACTTGAGATCTTAGAACTTATATCTCTCAAGGTGGGTGGCGCATTTACATTGTGGATGTCTATGGGCTCCAGTAACCACTTAGCAACAGGTGGGCTGTGAGCTCGTCCACCCATCTAAGCAATAAATAAAAAACATACAAAAAAAACGGATGCCTTAAGTTTGCGACGTTCCGGATGTCCGTATTCAACCATGATTCTACGATTTGACTCCTGTGGGCTAAGGCTTCAATGTCTGTGAGTAACGTATCTAATCCGTGTTCACGACCACTCTCCACGATAAAAGAATTAAACGCACGAGTAACAAAAATGAAGGCAAAGAAAGGGTAATCACTGATTGTAGAACATTAAAAGATCACGGTGGTAGGTACTAATGCAGAAATAGTCTGTTGTGAAGCATTTATGCGTACCAGGGTACCAGGGGTAACTACGGGTAAACTACAATGTACGATAGTCGCTACATAAAACAATTGAGACTTCAACCTGATATAACCACCGCTTGCTACTAAACACCAAGTGAACGACAAACCTGTCTTTCCACCCATTATTGCAAGATTTGTAAATATGACGACTACTTTACAATCGAGATGGCCATAATCTCACTGTCATTAAAGTACGAGTATTAAAACACAAAATTATAGAACCAAATAAATTATTTTTAATTATATTTAAATTTTATAACAAAATACACTGATTACTTTGATTTCGTAATTCACTGAATACAGACGATATCATACGATAGCATGTCGTGTAATGGCGACAAATAAGAAGGACCGAGAAGTTCATTGCGTTCATTTTAATAAAGAACTCAATTTTATTGGGTATCGATTCAAACCAGAATCAACAAAATCGGTAATATTTTAGTGGAGTATTCGTGTTACAAATATATTAAAAATATACGCCTCTAACTGAGCACAAGCTCCTTCTTTTCTATTTAAATACGTTAAAAAAAATAAACAAACAGATAATTTCACACACCGAAAATAATTTATTACATTTCGATAAGATGAAGGAATCATTTTATGATTTAACGACTCATCCGAGAGATGAAAGACGCGTCTTTGTTAGACGCAAAATCCGTACAATAATTACAACTCTATACTCACTGACCCGAGGGTTATCAAGCGGCCGGATGCCTTTATGAACGATACATTATGTAAATAAATAATTATAAATTTTATTTCTAGTAGCCAATCTGTATTTATAATTAGAACGGGGAAGGAAGTGCCAAATTTCACATCAATAGGTAATGGCGTGACATTTGCATATCATCAATGTATTGTCGCGTTTTATCAAATCAGTCCCCTACTGTGTTTATGTAAAACTCTATAAATAACATAACAATGCATTAATTTTGTTTGAATAAAAATTTTGCATTGGATTCCACGTAGTCGGCACTTAATAGGGAATACATGAAACAACATGTTGAGCACAGAAAAATCATCAATATGGGTAATTAAAAGCGTAAACAATTTGCAACAACAAAGAACCTAAGTCGTAAAACGAACAACAAACTAACTATGCGCTAGCAAACCGCTTCAAGGATACCGACTCAACGTTATTTATCGCAACACAAATAAGTCTAATTAAAAACACGGACCTAGTATACACTACATGAAAGTACCAGAAATATCATGTTAAGTTGGCCGACCATGAGCTCATCTGCCAATTTATATAATCGATATAATATACAAACATTTTTTAGAGAATTCTCAGTGTTGCAGAAAAAGCATTTAAATAAAAAATTATGATATTATTCGACAAATACAGAGATGTGGATTTTTTTTTTCGTAAAACCTAATTTTTAGAATACGCTCCTTTCAGGAATAGCCAACAATCATCACTACAATTTATCGTTTTCGGAAAAAGTTCGTCCCTTGCAACTAAGTTGATATGAAGGTAGCTAATCTGAATCGGAATCCAAATTTTTTTTGATAACAGCGCACTTATCCTCTGTAATTGTTGATGTCTATGAGCATATGTTATCATTAGCTGGGTCGTATGATCTGCATATAAAGAGACTATAAAACATAAATAACTGCAAATAGCACGACTCAATTCCACTGATAAAACATGTTCAACGCTTTGTTTTTCTTTGCAATCTCCACCACGTTTCTTTACAATCAAGATACACACGTGTCAAACTGCGGACAAACGTGATCGATGTTAAGAGAGTCGCTGGCTTGATACCAAGTCATCGAGTGACAATGATATCACACTTGCGATTTTACCGGAACGGCTATCTGTTTTGTGTACGTCCAACGGATGACAGCCGGTGACGTCACAAGTTTTTTACTGTGAATCATAACTTGTTTGTAATGTGAAACACTGATGCCTTTTCAAAGTTATATGACACAATGAGGTCGTCGTGTTTGATAAATAATGAACTAGTAGTATAAATAGTGAACGACTCGTATTAAAAAAATTATGACAGTAAAATATATATATATTTTTTGTTTTAGATTCATTGAATTACCGTGCACGCCTAATGAGCGTGTCAATACGTATTACGAGAAAATAAATACTACAGAAATTCAAGAATGATGAAATGTCGCCATTTTAAGAGAAAAACTATTAAGTACAACCGTCTGTATTATATCATCATCATTATCCTGCCCTTCTCCCAGTCACCTGGGGTCGGCGCAACTTGTTTTCTCCTTCCATACTCTTCTATCATATACCATTTCTTCGCTCACTCCCCTCCTACCCATATCGTCTTTCATACAATCCATCCATTTCTTCTTAGGTCTACCTCTTCCTCTAAATCCTCCCGCATTCATAGTTAACACTCTCTTAACAAGCTCGTTTTCATTTCGACTGTATTATATATTGAAATGAAATTTATAAAACAATTTACAAAACAGTCTCTTCTGTCGCACAAATACACAAAGGTAGATAATGTAAAATCTTCACTCTTAAAGTTTATCAAAAGTGGTTAGTTTTCACTTGAAAATTACACAACAGACTCTTATAAAGATTATATTAATATTAGAGATTATGAAATCGACATAGCATATTAATTGTTGTAGGTAGTATATGTATGTATTTTTGTAGATATGTTTGACGAGACACATTCAGAACTAAAACTATTGCGTTGTAGTATTATTACAAGCGTGGAGTATAAACAGCCCTCCGCAAATATATAATATTATATACTACGCCTTGTCTGTATCTTGTTTTTTAGACGTCTAATATTAGGTGAATCTATTATATCGTCGTTGCAAAGTTGAAATTTCCTATATGTATAAATGAGTCGTCTATTATCAAAGGCGGCAATCTGTACATTTGGACAAAAAATTTTTATTGATATGTCAATACAGATTTATTTGAATATAATCGTCTCCTTCAAAGAATACGGTTCAAAACCTGCATTAAATAAAGGTTAATAGTTAACCTGTTATTTATCTAAGATGTCGTTCCGAAGAGTTTTGTGACTGCCAATNTGAATATAATCGTCTCCTTCAAAGAATACGGTTCAAAACCTGCATTAAATAAAGGTTAATAGTTAACCTGTTATTTATCTAAGATGTCGTTCCGAAGAGTTTTGTGACTGCCAATGGAATACAAAGTCAATAATTCGTTTTTCTGATTTACCAATCATTGTCCAAAAGTCAGATTGCCGCCTTTGATAATAGTCGACTCAAATGTAGTTTTCGAGAAAAAAAAAAAAACCTCATGAAAAAAAAAATGCGAATATTTTTTTAGCACATAGGATACTTTGACAATCTACAATAAAATGCAAACTAACACTTAAGATTTTTTAAGTTTGACGCGTAATAAAGTGAACTATTCGCCTTCGCTCGGTCCAAGCACTGTTACTCTTTTATTAATGTTTAAATGTTGTTATAATTTTGGCTGTATGACGGCCCAGAATAGCAACACCATGTAGGTACTCACTCTTCCCGTTCATGTTCATGGCAATTAAGTGGCTCACCAGCAACAGCGTTCAAGGGTATTGTTGCAGCATACTACTATAGCATTTACTGATGTAGGGTGTTGATATGAGTCCGCATGGTAACAATACCACCGATCTGTCTACTTTTGCCCAAAATCAATAGTATATTCGCAACACAACTGAGTATTCCGCCTTATGTCTCCAGGCATATACTTGGCTAGATCTACAATATGATGCCTATAGACATCGGTGGGTGACAGCTGAGATTACCGACGATGGGCCGTGAGATCGTCTACCGATGTATGCAACAAAAATATTGTCAATCATACAAGTTTATACTTTGTACAAAAACTATGTTTATGTTTAACATATGAAGTGCCACGAGCCATTACAATGAGGTCGACACTTTAGCCATGACCTATTCTTTTGGTGTTAATCTGCATATTTAAAATAACAAGCTCTTATTTGACTTTCTGAAAATACCTAGATGTCGTCCTATAAACCGCGACTAAAATTCAAATTATTGTATGTATTACAAAAATTTGTAACAGTGGAGACCCACTCGTCTAAGCCCAGTAAAGAGAGACAGACAGAAAACCAGAATCATACAGATCAAGTTAGAGGACATCACAATAAAAAATTATACATTTAAACGATCGATCCGAAAAAGGTTGCATTTTTGACCAAAGCAACAAATAAATCATATTAGCATTTTAACATTGGCCATTTGTAAATTTATAATTGTGGCTCAAATTTTTACACACGTGCAGTCCAAAGCTAAGTCCTTGTCGACCTCTAGCTGATTGTTTTACATACATTTAAGACATATAATATTTAAAGCAGTTTCTCTAGGTCACGCGTTACTCAACATATTTCTACTAACAGTCCAATGGGGATCTTGTAATATCCTTGGAAGCTTGACC